TTGCAGTACTGCAGCATATATTTGCAACAAGATCTACAATATCTGCAAAATATCTGCATAAAAGTTGCAGATATTTTGCAGATATGTTGATTATCTGTCAACATATCTGCAAAATATCTGCATAAAAGTTGCAGATATTTTGCAGATATGTTGATTATCTGTCAACATATCTGCAAAATATCTGCATAAAAGTTGCAGATATTTGCAGATATGTCAATTGTCTGTCAAAATTTCTGCAAAATATCTGCATAAAAATCGCAGATATATGTAGATATGCCAATTGTCTGTCAATATACAGGTATCTCAACTACACAGTAAAAAATAATTTCTTATTGAGAAAACAATTCTTACTGCAAGAAAATATTTGTTGAAGAACATTTTTTGAAATAAGAAAAATTCTCTTAACATATCTTAAATTACATTTGTTTTCTTGAAATATGAATGTTTTCTTACGATTTTGTCATCTTCATATCAAATCATTTTCTTAACAAAATTTTTAAAACAAGAAATCAAATTCTTATTAACATAAGAAATAATGGTTAATAATAAATTATTTCTTACTTATTTTCTCGAAGAACGAAAATAAATTTGTTAAAATTTAAATATAACATCTTTTGCAATTTTTGCATTTTTTTTTCCAAAATGATATATTTTTCCTCAATATTCTTTTAAAAAAAAAGATGTGAAATGTCATCCTGGATTTAGATTCTATATGGGTTAGTATATTCACTTTAACTGTAATTAGCCTTTTCTCAAAAGAGATCACAGTGCATATTCTGGGGTGATTTGGAGGGACAAAATATATAGAGACAGGCATCAAATATGTGAAAGAGTAGAAGTATCTACTATCAAATATCAACTTTTTACATGACCAAAAATGAAATATCTCCTTTTTACATTAAATTTTAATTTAAACGTGTGCTGCCATATTACTTGTCCCTTCAACAAAGAATTTGTGCGACTAGACCCAGGACTTTGGGAATAGCTAATTAAATATACAAATTCTCTTCTATCATATTTATCTTTGTTAATTAATTTGTTATTAAAGTAAATTTGGGACAAAAATATTGGGTTTTATTTTGTATTAAAATGCTACATTTGCCCCTTTAGCAAAGGAGACCTTGCCCCCACCCCCTTTCCATCATCCCTGATACCATATAACTACATTCTAATTTAATTTCTAAAGTTGAGTTCTTTCCATGTTTTATTGAATCATTGTAGAGAATTTTCATTTTCTGAGAATTTATTAACAATAAATTAATTAACAGTCAGTAACTGATTGAAAACATTTGTAAATATTCCTTATATTCGTAGAGAAACTATATTTAATACATGGCAACTGAAGCAACTGGCTGCAATAGTTCGCGTATTGCCTGGAGTCCTGGTGCCCAGTTTAAGTGTCGGAGCGCAAAGTATCATGGGATAGCGTCGTTTCGAATTTTTGTGCTAAAAATTTGAAAGCACATTTACATGTCTTACGTGGTGAAGAAATTTATCGAAATTTCAAACCCAAGTGATGGAAAAGGCATGGAAAAGTTCGTAAAATGTTATTCAGATCTCACAGGTAAGAATAGTTATATTTTGACTTGTTATTTAAGCACTTTAATTGCGAAAGAATGTAGTGAAAATATGATTGTTACTTGAGCCATGTGTCTGAAATTCTGTTAAATATAATTTTGAATTTGCCGCGTTCAATTTACATAAAAAACATACAAACTGTTGGTTTCTGGCAAGGAAAGAAAGAATAAAATATCAATTCGAATCTATTATAGTAAATTCTGTACTAAATTGTGCACTAATAATATCAACAATTTAGCAATAATTGTCTTTGGCACATAATAATTTGGCACATAATAATTTGGCACATAATAATTTGGCATATAATAATTTGGCACTTTTGTAGACCTTTGTCAAGGGTGTATAACTTAATAATAAAACGATATGAAATAATATATTAAACATACTTGTGCTTTTAACAATATGAAATAATATATTAAACATTTGAATGCTGTTAAAAATATGTTAGCATTTTAATACATGAATAAGGATTGTAATTGCAGAAGAATTACAACATTAAATGTGATGTATCAGTGTATTGATCCTTTATTTAACCCATTAAGCTGCAACTGTGTTGCTTAAGACAATTTTACTCGTCAAGGGGAGAGTCTTGCAAGCTCTTTATTAATGAGCTTCAGTTGTATAAAATGATTTTTGTTTGTAAAAGCTGGAAGATGTATGAGCGCTGAGACAATGCCTCCAATGTTCTCTTTATATATTTTCAGAATAATATTGGAACTGGATTATAGCCCGGTGTGCTCCAAATATTGTTCTTAAGTCTCAACAATCAGATCTGGATTGAGTTGACAAACTGGTGTTGTAAGGTAAGAATTAACAAGAATAAATAGTCAGCTTTTAGTGCTTTCTATGAAAAAAATCACAAACTGGCCCAGCTAAGGTGGCCACCTAGGCCAGACAAATCAGTCTCGATCTTATAAACAGCCCCGACAAAAATTTAGTAACTAGTAACAACATAATTACACATGAATCCTAAGTTTACCTCCAAATGCAGCCATTTTAAGGCCTGTTAACACTGACACTGTGCTCAATTTTGGTACCCGTAACATGTTTACCATGCTTGGACTACCTATTCATACTGGTCGAGCACAGATTAATTCGGTACATACCAGTTTTATCTGTGCCGTACTAAAAATTGAGCATAGTGTGTAGGGCTTTAGTAGTTTAGTGCTTTAATAATCCAGAATGTGTATTTATGCCAGAAGTATAAAGGGTCAGTGTGCAATAGTCAATTTTCTGTCATAAATGAGTCATTACAGTATGGTACATGTAGAGCTGTCCATAGGCCTGCAATAATGCAGGGGGAGGGCTGTGGCTGGACCCAAAAAATTTAGCCGGAGTAGGTAGGGTTTTCTTTTTGTCTTGTAAATTTTTTATTATATAAATGTTCATGCATGAGAATGATATTCTACATCAATTACAGCAGCACAGATGACACAAACATTCATTAAATATTACATCAACTTTGATTTTGAAACAAACAAGTCATTTCTTTGCAGGTTTCCATGGCGATAAAACATATAATACTTTTGTTTGTGGAAACACCATATGTAGTTACATGGTGTTCCACAAACAAAAGTATTGTATAGCTAGTACAAAACTAACGCCACAAACTGGGTATGAAAAATTGTTCCAAACTCTTCGCAAACTTCAGATAAAAGGATTAGGGTCGGTGATTTCTTTGGGTCGGCACGAAGCTCTAGGAAGATGTTCTGTGATTGGTTGATTGTTACAATGACAAAAGAATAAGCTATAGAATGGATTTTCTAAAGAACGAAGCAAGAACAATATTCCTTTTGTTTATGTAAGTCAATTACGTCTTTTGTCATTGTCATAATCAAGTCCAGTCACAGAACATCTTCCTAGAGCTTCGTGTACTGATTTCTTTGGCTAACTCATTAGTAAGCCCTAATGTCTCCTGTAATATACTTTACAAAAATAGTATCAAATCAAATGTAACCTAGTAGATTGTTAATTAAGCCAATATATACCTGGTAACCCATAACACGTGGCTACCCTAAGGGCATCCCCCATTTGGCCTAACACTATCTAGATTATTCTTGATGTCTCAATGCCAATTAAATCTAAAACATATTAAATACATCTGATTTTATCAATTCCTATTTTTTCAGCTTTTGTTCTGGATGATACAGTCTATGGAAAGACAGCTGCTATACAGTACATGGTACATGACAAATGCTGTGGGGCTTGAACTAAAAGCAGACCAGCTGAGTGAGACTTGACATTAACAATTAATGACTTTTAGGTACTCATTATTTATTTCTGGCCATGTATATAAATATAATATTAGGAAATTTTAAATAAGTGTAGGTTATAGTAAGTGTAATTACTCTGCCCCAGGGGCCGGTTGTTCAATACTGGACTAGCGCTAACCCTGGGTTAAAATTTAGCCTGCTGTTTTAGTTTGTGTATTTCTACACGCCTGTTTATTTCAAAACTTCAAAGAAGAAAACTCCTATTGATCCAGACAAGATCTCTGAAGAAATATTTCCAAATTTATAGACAAGCTATCAGGAAGTTTGCTTTGAAGTTTAGGTTAACCTAGGGTTAAGCTAATCCACCCTTGAACAACTGGCCCCTGGAGAAAAATTGATTGTACAGTCTTAAATTTATCTATATGTGTAACCTATCATAATTATATATTTACTAATAAATACATTTACTATTCTGATCTAATATTTCTTCGTATTAAATTATTTATGGCTTCAAGTGAACATGACAGAGGTACAGTTGCAGCAACGTGATGTTGCAGAAGTAAGAGGAAATAGTTTTATGCAAGAGATAAATCTCACTTGGTGGCAGTTATGTGACATACCTGTTTGGTAGATAATATACAGATACTTTTATCTGCAGGGAAACTATACTGTCACATAACTGTGACAGATATGTTATTGGGCCAAATTCCTATATGTTGCAGATATGTGACAGATATCTGTCATATAACTGTGACAGATATCTGCCACATAACTGTGACAGATATCTGTCACATAACTGTGACAGATATCTGTCACATAACTGTGACAGATATGTTATGGGGCCAAATTCCTATATGTTGCAGATATGTGGCAGATACTTTCGAACATATATTTTGCAGATATTTTACAGAACTGTGACATATATCTGTCACATATCTGTCAGTTTGGTAAGGGTGTGCTCGCACTGATTATTTATCAGGCGCTATTTGCGTGAAAGGCCACGCACTCAAATTGAACCTTGCCACTGTGCAGGTAAAAAAAGCAGCCCATTGCCATTGTGCTGGGATTATTGAGACTTTGCCATTGTGCAATTTTAAAAGAATTACAAATACAAACTGTCAAAGACAATACTGAAAATACACAGTACACTACTTATTGACAATTACTGTAACGAAACTATTTTATTCCAAACAGTGAGAATATAGAAATATGGGTGTGTCAATTGAGACATACAGATTACGAATTGGTTCGCATAACAACTTTGTGCAAGCACGACAGTGCATGAATCAAATGAAAGGTAAATTTTGGAACCATATGTTAGTAATGTTCTACTTAGAAATATTTTATTTACCATGCTTGAAAAATATAGTTACCAGGATTGAAAATAATAATGAAGTTTGCATGTGGTATACACAAATGGTATCTTATCATGTTTATGTACCATTGCTATTGAGGCTTGCAAATGATGTAGAGGAAAATCCAGGCCCAATTAATATCTATGATATTGTTGATCATAGTTTTACGGTTCGAGCAGACTTCAACCAAGGTAATATATCCATGTTTGGAATAAATGCTGGAAAACAATGTGTTGCCATGTCAATTTATGCTATTGTATACAATGAAATAAAATCTGTTAATATTTGGGATACACCACTTATGAACATGCTTCTAGTTAATGCAAACAATCTTTATGCCATAATTAGTCAGCACATTCAGAAAGATTTCTTGCTGCTCACTGATGTTCCTGAAATATTGTCTATCAACAATGATACTTTTAATTTGGAGTACAGTGACTCTTTTTCTGGAGCTTTATGGATGGCTCGCAACAATGAACCGTATGTTACACTTGAACATGCCTTTCATGAAGTATTTGATACTGGTAATTATAAAGCATGTTTACTTACTATTCGAGCAAACACTGTTGCAGTTTTAATGCCTTTCCCAGATGTATTCAAAGTTTTTGATTCTCATTCACGAGATATGCATGGAATGCCAGCGGCAATGGGTTATAGTGTTTTAGTTTCTATTGAAGGAATTCAAAACCTTATAAGTTTTTTTCATAACAGTTGTAACTATCCTGGACAAAATAGCGAAAATAGTCTATTTGAATTGAAGGGTGTTAAATGTCATAGAAACATTTCATTGTCAAATAGTTTGGATAACACAGCAAATGACGACACAACATCAAATATCCATGAACAACTAACAAAACAACAAGAGTCAGTTATAGAAAGAGAAAACAGACTTACAAAGCTAAGAGAGAAGCAAAGAGAGAAAAGACAACAAGCAAAACAAAAAGAGTCTGTTGCAGAGAGAGAGAATAGACTTGCAAAGCAAAGAGAGAAAAGAAAACAAGAAAGTGTTTCAGAGAGGGAAAATAGACTTGCAAAGCAAGGAGAGAAAAGAAAACAGGCAATACAACAAGAAACTGTTAGAGAGAGAGAGAGAATAGACTTGCAAAGCAAAGAGAGAAAAGAAAACAAGAAACTGTTTCAGAGAGGGAAAGTAGACTTGCAAAGCAAGGAGAGAAAAGAAAACAGGCAAAACAACAAGAAACTGTTGCAGAGAGAGAGAATAGACTTGCAAAGCAAAGAGAGAAAAGAAAACAAGAAACTGTTTCAGAGAGGGAAAATAGACTTGCAAAGCAAGGAGAGAAAAGGAAACAGGCAAAACAACCAGAAACTGTTGCAGAGAGAGAGAATAGACTTGCAAAGCAAAGAGAGAAAAGAAAACAAGAAACTGTTTCAGAGAGGGAAAATAGACTTGCAAAGTAAGGAGAGAAAAGAAAACAGGCAAAACAACAAGAAACTATTGCAGAGAGAGAGAATAGACTTGCAAAGCAAAGAGAGAAAAGAAAACAAGAAACTGTTTCACAGAGGGAAAATAGACTTGCAAAGCAAGGAGAGAAAAGGAAACAGGCAAGACAACCAGAAACTGTTGCAGAGAGAGAGAATAGACTTGCAAAGCTAAGGCAGAAAAGAAAACAGGTAAAACAACACGAAACTGTTGTACAAAATCATTACAGGCAACTGATAACAGGCTTTACAACCGACAACAGAACGTTCATTGATCATTTATACACAAATTTAATTGAAGAGGAAATTGAAGCTGGTATTCTAGAAACTTACTTTAGTGATCATAAAGCAATATGGGCTTCTCTTAGGACATAGAAATAATAATTATATACCATTCAATTAAGGTATTGCAAAGATAGCAAGCCATTGTGCCATTGCATACGAATGTTATTAAGACAAGCCATTGCGCCACTCCCAGTGTTATTAAGGCAAGCCATTGCGCCACTCCCAGTGTTATTAAGGCAAGCAGCTGTCCACTGCCAATGTTATTAAGACAAGCCACTGTCAATATTATGAAAATAAGTCTTTGTGTGGACGATGGCTACATTTAGGTAAGTCTTCTTTTTCTCTTTCCCCCTCTCCCTTCCCTTTGTTTATGTGTTTAATTGTGTTTTTTTTCTTCTTTTTTAGATATCTCTATACATTAACATGATCACATTAATTACACCCGTTTTCAAAATTACGCGACCAAGGACGAAAATGCTAGAGTTGATATGTCAGTTTTAAGTCATTCAGTCACGAAGTTTAAACTTTGAGTTTTGCGGTTCCTTGTCGATGTATATGCTTTGTATGCTTTATATAAACAGGCTTACAATGATTTTCAAGATATTTTAGTGAGAATTATTGCAAAATTTAAGCACAAACAAAATCATAACATCACCGTTATAGTCTAGTGCGCGTGGTTTATACTGACGATCACTGACAGCTAAATTCCAGGATAAATTGTTATTTTTCAAACTTTAAAAGTTATTCACGGCACCTATTTCTGTTGTGATGGTTTGTATCGTGCTTTAGTTTGTATATCTAAGTTATCTAACTCATTTTTAATTTAATGGTTTAAAATGTCTTTTGACAGTTTGTTTACGTTTGTGACATAAAACTGACATTTGAAGTAAGAGTATTTTTCAGGGAGGTTGCGTAATTTTGAAAACGGGTGTAACGATAACTTCAATCAACAAAAGTACTCAAAATAGAACAATTTTGGTATGTTGCTAATGCTACGTCTTATTACCATCTAGTCATGTCACGGAAAAAAGCTCGAACTGTATAGCTTATGAAATCCATGTTACATTATACATAATTGCATCCACTAATACTGTTGCATTAATATTTACAGATATCAGACGTATACAATAATATGCCTTCCATTTGCTTGCGCCTCACAATATTGGTGGATAAATTATGTTGAATAACATCATCTTATGTCAATGAATATTCGAAAATGAAACAATTGATCTTATGTCAATGAATATTCGAAAATGAAACAATTCAATTCAGCTACCAATTGCTTGACCATTAACTGACACGACCACTTCAACGAAATCGCACGTACAAAGAAAAGTTAACACGTCTACAGTTGTATCATCGTTATGTCATCGTTATGTATTCTGAAAATTCTACGTGGAAGACATGAAAAGTAAGAAGTAAGAAAGATGCACAGTACTTGAAGATACGACTTGGATATTTGTTGTACGTTACATTGCACCTGGCTCTGACAGCTACTCAACGAAGTCGCACGTACCAGTACGAAGAAAAGGTAACGCGGCAAGGAAGACTTGATAGTTAAGAAAGATGCACAGTACTTAAAGCAGTACTTTGCTGTACGGTACATTGCACCTGTTCGAATACTCGTAATCAAGCTAACAACGTGCGTGAGTACAGTACCTGTTATACGAACAATGGACTTGATATGCATCATAATCAACATCTTCAAACTTACACTGGGTAGAACATGTACTATAATACGCAATAAGACGTGTTCTATTGTCATAGAAAAGTGACTGGTATTTTAGTTTTCACTAGCTGAATGTTCGTTATTTATAATTCACGTTGTCATTGGCCATTTTTGGCAAGGTTTGGAAATTGTGGAATGGATTGTAACTAAAAAACTGACTTGTGGACTTATTTTATATATTGAAAAATTGACTGTAACCCATACTCTAATTTTAATTTTGTATACATACAGTAGCCATCGTCCAAAATAAATCTTATTTAGTATTCTACTATATTTGTTGATTGTCATTTAGATTAGTTATAAGCGCGCGCATCAAGATTTTATTGGCATGCAACATGTACGCACTGCGTACCTATTTTTCATAATTATGAGGACAGAGCAGATGATGATGAGAGATGCAAGTATAAAACACCATTCACAAGGCTAGATGTTAACATAGCACAGTATTTCTGGCAATAAAACGCTCCAACTGACCAACTGAACATTTCACACGAACTTTTATCGCTGGATAATTTTGCGAGTTTTCATCCAATTCAATCATATATATGCTCAAAATCTTCGCAGTAAGTTTCTCTTTACCATAAAATTTGACCGAATAAGTTTCGAAACAATGCCACAACAAAAAATGCAAAAATCCTGATTTTCGTAATAGAATCTATGGTCCTTTTGCCCTGTTGTACCGCCATCTTGGATTTATCATGTAGGCCCCGCCTGCGCTAGGTATGCGTTAGCAATCTAGATCTCCTATATCTATGGGATTTCCCAACAACAAGGCCAAAACTGCCCTGAAACTGCCCTGGTTGCGAAATACCCTATTGTTGCGTTCTCAAACAGAATTATTTGCAACTTAACGGCGAATTTAAACCGATACAGGTAAAATAAACTCATTTATAGTATAAACTTACTTTGTATACACGTCTAGAAAATCGGGGTTTTTATCATAAAAGTTCGAAGCAACACTATTATTTAATATGTTGACAAGGTGTAGCGAAAGCACAAAATGAGTCAAAATATATACCAAAAGTAGAATCTTTCATGAAATTTTGTCTTATACACAACTACATTAATATATATTTTCTCAATTTTGGCAAGAAGCAGTCTTGTGTTTGTAAAATATACAAACACATATACAATTATAATTTATTAAATAAAACGGATACATATATTATTAGCCCGTACAGTACTGTATATAAAAACGTACATTGTTTACAAATGGTATATCCGTAATATTTGAACAATAATTTCAAAATCCTCATTCCCAATTCGCAAATATAGTTATTCAAAGCAAAACAGTAGATTGTCAGCATTGTCTTGCGAATAAAAGAATTAGGGAGCATTCATTTTTTAGCTGGGGGGGGGGCGGAGGAATTTGGGGGTGGGTCAGCCAATTTTGACATGCTTCAAAGGGGTGGGTCTTTTTATAGTTTTGGTATAAATGGAGGGGGTCATAAAAATAATCAGTGAAAAAATCACCAATATGATTTTATTGAATTTGGAAATATTTGGATCTAGAATGGTAAAAAGTTCCAGAATCTATCAACTATCTCGTCATCTATAACAATGAAGCAAAATTCATTTGACGCTCTGTTCACACAGTCCATAGGAAAACATTTCTATGACGTTCATCAATTGACTTCGTTTTTATCCGTTTTTGTGTGAAAACGTGAATGAAAGAAAAAGCAGGACCGTAGCATGATTTCAAAATCATGCATGATTTCAAGGTCTGCATAACTTCAAAATCATGCAGACGTTGATCAATTTTAAGCTTTATTAATTTTAAGCAGCTACATTATCCATGACAAACTGCAAAGAATGAAGATAGTATCTACAGTTTCCTGCAACTTATCCTAGTTATCCAATATATAGTAAATTAAATTGTCAATTTCGACATACTAAAACACTGTTTTCTGACCATCAGAATTCTGTCAAATCTTCCCCCAAAGGCCAGGAAATGGCATTTCAGAGACTCTAGATTTGAAAATTTCCTCGGGCCTTTGGCCCTCGCTTTCAGCCTCCCAATCAAAAAGAGCTTCCTACGGCCCTGAAACGCTATGGAAACGACACCGTGTGGATTAATAGTTAGGATGAGGGGTCAAAAAATTTTCAGTAAAAAAAATAGGGGGTCATAATTTTTTATCAACTTTTGTCTTCAGGGTTCCAAGTTTTCGCATGGAATTAGACATCAGTTCCTCCGGCCAACTCCCAGCTAAAAAATGAATGCTCCCTTATTATTTTGTGCTTTCGCTTCACCTTGTCAACATAATAATAGTGTTGCTTCAAACTTTATGATAAAAAACCCGATTTTCTAGACGTGCATACAACTAAAAATAGTAAGTTTATACTATAAATGAGTTTATTTTACCTGTATCGGTTTAAATTCGCTGTTAAGTTGCAAATAATTCTGTTTGAGAATGCAACAATTGGGCATTTCGCAATCAGGGCAATTTCAGGGCAGTTTTGGCCTTGTTGTTGGGAAATCCACTAGGCCTTCTATTTTTTCGCTTGCGTCAGGCTTGTGTCCTTCCTCCGCCCCGCCCCCAAATCACCTAGTCCCAGTCTTTTCATATGAAAAAGCGCTGAATATTAAAAAAATATAAATAAAAATAGAAGGCCTAGGTCTAGGCTGGGAAATAGTATGGGCGCCATCAGGGCGCTATAAAACACTTTAAACACGGGCGGTGAAACGGAGATAGCGCCCCTGATCTTTGTGTGATGCGCGTACCCCCCGTATACATTAATTTATAATATCATAATATCAATGAAAATGGAATTGGAATGTTTATGCAAAAAAGAGCTGAAAAAACTAAAGTAAAAAATGTTTTCTGCATTCCTAAACAACTTGATGGTTTGACGACATTGTTGGATTCATTTTCTGTATATCTGATGAAGGAAAAAGGGCTTTAAAGATTCATCATGAGCGAAATAAAAATTTGAAAAAGAATTGAGCTGATCGAATGTGGGCATATTCCAAATACGAAAATTTTGGTATGAAATGGAATATTTTACTTCATAATGCGAAGGTAGGATAAACATTTTCACATTAAGAAGATTCTGACATTGCTTGGCTACTATTTTTCAATAATCATATAGCCCAAAATTGACCATCCATGCATTTAAAACAGCTAGAATTTGAAAAAAACAACTACAATTTGCTCGACAATTTGGAAACTTAAATATATACCCGTTTTTGTGTTAACCAGCCGGCCTGCTTGGAATCCATTGAAAGTTCATTGTAAAGTGTTTTTTACTAATTGATTTGAATTCTATATTATTGGCATAACTGCCGCCGACACTCCAAAAATATTCAGTGTGAATCTTTTTTCGTGCGACTGCAGTCGTTGACATGATATATACAGTGACAGTGTTACGGAAAACTATAAAGGCTGCAAAATATCTCCGTTTTATGAAAAAAGCACAAAAAAGCACCGTTCAATTTTACGTGAGACATAAAGCCAAGTCAGTTAAATGTCTATAGTTTGGTGTGTTCAAATTTATCTCAACCTATCTCAACGAGGAGAAAACACTATTTTAAATACGTCCGCGCTTTGACAAAAAAGAAAAAAATGTCGTCAAAATCGAGTTGAAAATGCATGTCTTTTCCTCAACAATCACTTTGTTCATTTTGCATGTGAAATAGATACCAATTTTAACTATATAAGCTGATACTATAGATCCTTCACTAAATGTTTATAGTGTAATATTTGAGGCAGGAAGTGATTTCGTTCAAATCGGATAATTGAAAATTTGTGTTGTTTAATTAAATATCGTCTTATGTGCATAAATAAGTATAGTAGTCGCGAATCTATATTGTCGTGTGGAGTATACGGAAAACTATAAAGGCTGCAAGATATCTCCGCTTTATAAAAAAAGCACAAAAAAGCACCGTTCAATTTTACTTGAGACATATTAGCCAAGTTAAATTAATGTCTATAGTTTGGTGTGTTCAAAAATATCTCAACCTATCTCAAAGAGGAGAAAACACTATTTTAAGCACGTCCGCGCTTTGACAAAAAAGAAAAAATGCCGTCAAAATCGAGTTCAAAATGCATGTCTTTTCCTCAACAATCGCTTTGTTCATTTTGCAACTGAAATAAATACCAATTTTAGCAATATAAGCTGATACTAGATACTTCAATAATGCGCTCGCGCCAATCCTAATGTGCATCATACGTAGCACGGTCATTTATTAGCGCGTTTCCCAGCCCGTGTTTTATAGCGCCCTGGCGCCATTGGTGGCCGCGCGCTCGCTTTTGCACCCCCTGCAATATGGCGGTAGAAACCTTGGAAAGGTCTATTGACAAATCGCTCAAAATTATTAGAACTAATTAAAAATGCAGTAGGTTTGATCCTTGATAACTTTCGTGTTGTTAGTTTTCTCTTTTTCGGCCGTATACGAATGGATTCGTCTCACTTTTTTTTCTCTTCATTTTGATAGTATTTTGATCCGACAATAGTTTATTTTGAAGGTTTTAAAGCGAAGTTATAAACAAGCGTGCGGAACAACTGCCCGCCAACAGTAGGAATGTAGCGTACTACAAAATGATATATCCTTTACTTGTAGCACAGCTCGTAGGCGGAAACGCCGGAAAGTTTTATTTGTAAAGCACCGCATTTTAGTACCGTGTCTGGTTTACTCTGTTCTTATAAAAGCATGGTTACCATTTAGCAGTCTTTTATCGAGTTTCTATGTCATGACAATTGTTCCTGCATGTGCATCGCTGTCTTTGTATTTCTGTCTTTGTCGGGCTATAATTTGTCATTTTCACTGCTTAACAGGATTTATTTGGCATTAATACGAATCAGACAAAGGACATTTAGGAATAGGTCTTCAACGTGCTGTTGATTTTTCGGCAATAATAGCGAGGCTAATAAACAAAACAGTAGGGACTGATATGCATGCTTATTGGATTCTTGTGTCACACGCAGAAATATAGCTAAAAAATGCAAAAATTGTCAACTTCCTGATTTCTTAGAAATACTATGTGCCGCAAATTTTATTGTGTAGATGTATGGAATAGCATCCTATTTCAAAGTTAAAACGCGATTTAGAACCTGGGCAGGTGCCACAAATGAGAATTCTGCAATGTTTTAGGACTTATAATTCTCGAATTTGATATCATGCGTTGAAGGGTCTCGATTAGTAATTTTTTTTATTTGCCAGGTGCAACTAAACAGCTATATATTACTGTTTCTTTGTAGAAAGAGCACTCTAGTGCAGTTCACACCCGAAAACGAAGCTCTGATTAGCAGAGAAAATAGAAAAAGCTGACTGTGATTGTAGGCTTTGGCGATTTCAGAAACTGGCATATTTTAATTAACTTAGGTCCTGGGACAAAAACTCGCATAGCGGTTGTAAAAACCACGTTTGAACGATCTTAACTCCAGTTTCGTAGTTAGGATAGATGAGAGTATCGACGGTAGAAATATAAGAGAAATCTATTTTTGAAGCCCAGATCGAGTGGTCCGCTCTTACAGAGACGCCCTCTTAATTTTGCGATGTCCCAATTAGGGACAACTTTTGGCGACAATGGATCTATTCCCTAATGAACAAAATTTTGATATCTAGACAAAAATTTCATCACAGCTTGAAAGAACATCACAAAATTGGTAATATTCCCAAGTTTCGTTGCGAAATGTTGTAAAATGCGGATAATATAGCCCTGCGAAGTTTGCCGTTTTTCAGTCATTTTGTATTACGCGCGGGAAATTGATACCTTTTTTCAGAAAGCGGTATCAATTTCCCGTGCGTAATACAAAATTAAATGACTGAAAAACGGCAAATTTCGCAGGGCTATATTATCCGCATTTTACAACATTTCGCAACGAAACTTCGGAATATTACTAATTTTGTGATGCTCTTTCAAGCTGTAGTGAACGTTTTGTTTAGAATTGTCTCGACCAAAATTTTGTTCATTAGGGAATAGGTCCATTCGCAATGCAAATGACTGTGTTTTTATGAGATTTATTGGCTCGCCAACGACTTGCATATATTTGTCCTGAGGGACACGCATAAATTTGTTTTCCGCGTTTGACGGCATCATAACAATGGTCTTTGACTATATACTGCCAAGTTCCCATTCAAAATTCGCACTAAAAACTGGAACAGAATAACTCGACTGTCAATGACATTAAACTCCCACTGTAACAACAACAACAACAAGTAATATAAGACCTAAAGGATATAATATTAAAGCTTGAATATTTTTATATACCTGCACACCCATTTCTTAACGTCTTCCTCCATGGCAGCTTGACTTGGCAGTGTGATCTCGCCCATGATGTACTTTACACACCATTTTGCTTGGATATCAAACAATGTGTATGTGTAGCACTGATCTTGCGCTGCCAGATACATCAACTTCTTGTTTCCACCTTTTATCCACAGAGTATTCTTATACAGACCATCGGGGAACAGCACATTGCCGGTTTTCAGCTGTAAACTGGCATCCTTCAGAAACGGATACGAGTAAAGGTAGCCGGTGCATGAGATAATCGCATCCACTTCAGCTGTGCTTCCATCTTTAAAATGAACCGTGTTTCCATCGACTTTGACCAACAGAGGTCGTTCAGATATGTTATCAGGCCACTTGAAGCCCATAGGTCGAGTGCGGTAAGTGCAAATGATATTACCAGCTCCATACTTCGCCAATTGTAGAGAAATATCTTCTGCAGAGTAACTTGCACCAATCAGCAGTAAACGCTTGTCCTTAAATTCTCGTGCATCACGGAAACTATGAGCGTGCATAACTCGGCCAGGGAACTTGTTTAGCCCAGGAAAATCAGGCAAGTGCGGCATAGAGAAGTGACCAGTGGCAACGATGACGTAATCAAAAGTTTGGGCGGAAAGATATCGATCGTTAACCAAGTCCTTGACCTGCACAGTGAAGTTATCAGAGGCAGCATTGTATTGTACATCGTGTACTTTGTGATTCAAATTTATCCATGAACGAACATCAGCTTTTGCCCAGCGACCTTAGTAAAATTAAAGCGATTCGTATTAAAAATTGGAAATCCACTATGCAGTGTTCAATATATACGCATGCGCTTTTATAACACGAGCTTAGACGCCATTACAGTAACACCGCGGAAAAACGTCTGCGCATGCGTCAACCTTACCTGTAATAGTATTGCGAACTTGATGAGAAGCTGTTCCGAACGTTTCCGAAGGCTCAAAATGGCGGTAAAAAGGAGTGACTTCATTGTGCGTCTTTACAGCCAGATTTCGAGCGCAAAAATAAACATGTCATTCTAAAAACTAGGAATAAATACAGCCAGAAGGTTCAAGAAATTGTATTGTACAAGAACATGAACTAAAGGTGATTGTTGACAAATTTATCGTCTGAAACATTTTGTTTATCAACTAAGCAACGACAATTTCCGAATTTTCGTTTGAGATACATTTCTTTAAAAAAAACTATGTCGCCAAATATAAAAAATTTTCGTGTTCACAATAATTAAACTATAGGATTTATTCTACAATTTGAGTGGGTTAAGAAGCTTAACTTTTCGAGAGTTTTCTTAACTTTTTAGTTTGAATTTTTGTTTTGAATAATTTTGCAAAAATTTTCGAAGTCGTGTCCGTTAAAATTAACAATTTTTTACATGAATTATATTTCATTCCATACTTTAAATGCCAGGACGCTTTCAATTAATGTCTAGTCTACCCATTTGCTATATTTTCTCGTTTGTTTTACTAATTTTTGACCAATTAATAAGCATGTTTTTGTTTTAGAAATTGATATTCAAATTACCCGCCATATTTTCATAATTTGGTGCATGCGCAGACGTTTTTCCGCGGTGTTCATTACAGTAAGTTTATTGTCAGTGTTGAAGTTCTGAATTAGGAAACGTTTCAGCATCATGCAAGGAATCAGTTGTAAATGATATTCTAATGGGATGTTTACAGGTAATACAAGACGTGAAAAATGCTACAGCAAATCATAACGATTTATACTGTATATTTGAGAATTTTTTATTCGGATAAATAAACCGTATGGATTGTTATTTTCTTGAACGTTTTGCACGTTTATTTTTTTAACAATAGGGAGCTTAAGATACACCAAATCCACGACGCGGACGTGACGAAAAACTGCCGCTATTATCACAGTTTCACTTCACGGGTAAAATCTATGGATTGTTATTGGTAAACAAAGTCAGGGACACGGGAAACACAAAGTAAAACTAGTCTCCCATTAATAGCGACTGTTTTTAATACATGCATGCAGAAACCCTCGTCTTGCTGACAAAAACCATTGTATTTTCCAACATCAAGTATTTAAAGTAGTTGTCATGGTAACACGATAACTTTTTTAGGAATATTTTTACAAATAAAAAATCCAAAACAAATATCACTTTTAATTACAAAATTATCAATTTCCATGCATATATATGTTAGGTATGTTATTATACGTGATATAAGCTTCAATTTAAGGTAAAATTCAACAACAAACGCTTCGCCAAACGTTTTAAAATGTTCTTTATAAAACTAAACTGCCTTTATTGAAAAACTTTGAGTTTGAAATAAAAAATGATTTCAAATTCTCGCATGCAAATAACTTTGCTTTCTTTTTTATTTAAAAAATTAATATAATAGAAAGGGTAATCAATAAAGATACACTGAAATTACTGCCTCGTCCCCAGGCACTATAAAACGACACAAGTCACTATATAAAAGGTTTACATGAAGTAGTGCGTCACATTATAGGCGCGCAAAGGGGAATAGGATGTGAGCGTTCTGGTTAGCGTCTGGCCCATCTGGAATAGCTGTCGAACATAAAACAAGTAAACAGTAGATCTAAATATAAATGCCTTCGTGTAAATCACCAGAAAGAAATAAAGCTATCCTTACCTGAATTATTCAAAATATTGTCGTTGGCATCGTGAAACTCAAACATACTGCATGTAAATAAGCTCATAATTGAAATCCTGAGACGAATCTTGCGAACACAATACAAAATAAATTCCTCATTGTGATAAGGACGCATTGTCATTTTTCCATGCCTGTAAAGTTATTACATAAACCCTTCTACAGCCTCGTTGACCTCTCCAAGTGTTGACATCTTGGAATCATTTAAAGTGCATATGACATGAAAATTTTTATTTTCTTAAATGAAAGAACTCTTTAAGTTGTAGTGTAACTTATTTTTCAGTTTCTTGTGTTTATGGTTTGTTCCCGAGATATTTCAATTTGTTTGATATGTAGTTTGCAAGAAACAGACGAATTTTGCAAGAAACGGCACAAGATCTCCCAGGCGTTCCTCAATTTTCGCTGCCTCAAGCCCATATACCCCTGCGCTTGTTCGTCGCGATGCACTACTTCATGTAAACCTTTCATATAGTGACTCGCATGAAATTTTTTATTAGCGCCTGGGGACGAGGCAGCTGAAATAATATGCTGTCTGTTTTTATTTAAAATATACGAAACATCAGCTTTTAAAGCAAGTATACAACAGCAAACAATACATCAATATGTAAAACAAACTTACCTTCGTTAACGTCGGCGCCTTTGCTCCCTTCTTTTAGCCGGTTCTTCCCCTTTTTTTTCTCAAAAAGCTTTTGAAATTTACAAAATCTTACAAAAATGAAATATATTTGCAAGAAATCAAGAAATGTTTGTTATTTCACTGTCGTCGTGCAGTCGTTATAATGCAAATTTTAATTGGACGAATCAGTGTTGGCTATTCATGAGAGTCCGCTATATTATGAGATCAGTGAGGATGGTCCCACCGAACCACGCACGGTAACCCACGCCCTCGATCATTCATGAACTTTAAACTTCGCTTGCTTTCCTTTCCCCGGGGGTAAATAGCCGGGCGGAATTAGTACCCTCGCACGGCGCTTGGGGACAACAATCACCAACAACCTTGACACTGGCAAAAGACTGACCTTTGAGGTAGTCGAAGAGTACTTCTCTGGGTGGAAAGGACGCAATTGGTTTACCAAAATGTTCATCAAACGTGTAGTCAGGAAATTCCAAAGCTTCTTTAGGACCATTAGACCACAAGTTGCGATACATACTGTTGTGAACCACCTCACCAAATTCATCAGTTCCTTAAAGTATCACGACATGATGTAAGAAGCATGCATAACATGATATAAGAAGCAAGGCATAATATAGTTTGCAGGAAAATTCTCCATTACTATTGGTGGGGGAAAATTTTTTTTAAAAATCTCGTATACGTATACAAATATAATTATCAATGGCAGCCATTTTAAGACAAGATACAGGTTTCAGGATCATCTGCATTAGTGGCCATTTTCATTTTTTCACATTTCAAAACGTGACGTGTACCCTAAAGCCTGATTGCCATATGACGCCGACCAGCGAACCGACATATTGTCAAATCAAGAAATGTTTGCTATTTCGCTGTCGTCATGCAGTCATTATAATGCAAATTTTAAATTGGACCAACCAGTGTTCGCTATTCATGACAGTCCGCTATATTTTGAGATCAGTGAGGATGACCACCCACTATGCCACCCAAGCACAGTAGTTAGTAATCCACGCCCGCGATCATTGATGAACTTTAGACTTCGCTAATGCTTTCCTTCCCACGGGGGTTAATAGCTGGGAGGAATTATAGTACCCTCGCTCCGGGCTTACGCCCGGAACGGCGCTCCGTGCCGTTGGCCCGTGCATTAACATAAAATTCAAAGCAAACTTTCTGACATCTTGTTTAAAAATTTGGAAATGTTTCTTCAGAAATCTTGTCTCGATCAATAGGAGTTTGCTTCTTGGAAGTTTTGAAATAAATACATATGCAGGAATGCACAAACCAAAACGGCGGGAAAATTTTTTTAAAACCGAGGGTTAGCACCAACACACCTTGCACAACCGGTCCGGCGGCCCCCGTCTTACAGTTGCTGCATGCAACATGTTTGTTCCATTTATTTTGCAAACTTAACATAATAATTTGCTTAGCAAATTACCTCCTCAAAAAGGGCGGAATTTAATTAGAAAGGTCAGTATATGCCAGGATGTTTGCAGGAAACAGTTTGCAGCCGACTTGGAAACCACCCAAACCAAGCATTAAAATACGGAATTTTTACAAGGACACACTTTGCCTTCAAAGGCGTATTTTTGGTATAAATGCGCAGACTCACGAGAACGAGTGGCGAAGCCACAAGTTTAGCGTCGAAGACGCGAGCTTTTAAGGGGGTCTCTGAAATGGCATTTCCAGTGTTCTGAGAACAGAATTTGGAAAATATTTGGCCATTTTTCGTGGATTACATTAATATATTTTCTGTTTAATATATTTTCAAGTACACACTTTTCAATTTACAAGGGCACATTCGCCTTTTACAAGGACACAAAGTGTGTACAAGAATACGCTATTTTAATGCCTGACCCAAACGGTACACCATACCTGTTCTCCAAGAATAATTCCACAGACCACCACAATCAGATTGCTTTTCATAACAAACAACATCAGGAATCTCTGTCCCTTGTTTTTTCAACTTATCAAAATGATACATTGTTGACATGCCACTAGGGCCTGCTCCAATAATACATACACGTTTTTTCTGAGGCATTTTTCTCACAAAATCTTAAGCTAAAGTGAAGACAATGAATCGAATGGTTAAATTTGTTTCAATGACACAACGAGATGCAGACGGCTAGGCATGATATGGCTGTCGCCTTTTAATTAAGAGTGGAAGACATTCTAACTATATTGCAATTTGTAAAACACTTCAAGAGCTCAGATTCTCTTTTAGAAGTTACACAAATGCAAATTTTAAAACATTAAAACACCATGCATTGCTTCAATATTTTGCATATATGTATATATATATGTATATATGTATATATGTATATATATATGTATATATATATATGTATATATATATATATATATATATATATATATATATATATATATATATATATATATATATATATATATATATATATATATATATATATATATATATATATATATATATAATTCAATTTGTTTTGGTTGTCTAGATATATAAAGTGCTCAATACTAAAAGTATAGCAGAGCTTATTAGATTGTTATTATATATGTATATATATATATGTATATATATATATATATATATATATATATATATATATATATATATATATATATATATATATATATATATATATATATATATATATATATATATATATATATATATATATATATATATATATATATATATATATATATATATATACTACACATTATGCCTAAGCCTTTATGCGCACGCTCATATAAGCACATAAAGCACATAAGTAAAGACATTGTAGCGCCCTTCAAGGAAAGCTCAAACAACGGCAACTGTGGACAGCTGTTTCGCCCTTTTTGGGGCTCATCAGCACAGTGCACCGATGATGAGCTTCCACATACCAAGAATATATATACTATAGAAAACAGTGTGGTGGATGTGGGACACTACAGAACTTTATATACTACACATTATGCCTAAGCCTTTATGCGCACGCTCACTGCATTTCACAGTTTAAAAACGGCGATAAAGCACATAAGTAAAGACATTGTAGCACCCTTCAAGGAAAGCTCAAACAACGGCAACTGTGGACAGCTGTTTCGCCCTTTTTGGGGCTCATCAGCACAGTGCACCGATGATGAGCTTCCACATACCAAGAACATATATAGAAGACAGTGTGGTGGATGTGGGACACTACAGAACTTTATAATATACTACACATTATGCCTAAGCCTTTATGCGCACGCTCACTGCATGCATATATATATATATATATATATATAACGACAAAAACAACAAAATTCAATCTTAAAATTTTATTTTATCGCTACACAGTGTTTCACGTACAGCGTACGATCCGTATTCGCTCTACTGATTTATTGGTGTTGAGCACTCTAGTTCACTACGCACAAATTCAATATTGAATATATATATATATATATATATATATATATATATATATATATATATATATATATATATATATATATATATATATATATATATATATATATATATATATATATATATATATATATATATATATATATATATATACATATATATATACTAAGACTATATTCAAAAAAATAGTCGATGAGTTGACGTAAGGTAGAAGAGCGCTCAATACCATAATAAGTAGAGCGGAATTAATTCAGTCAAGGTTTGAATGTTTGCGTCGCTACTCTAAGTTTCACGCTTTACGCGATCATCAGGCAACTGACAGATATTATTCAATATTCATAATAAATATAGGTTATCATTTTACAACTTGATTAAGCAGGTATCTGGTTACATGTCTACATTTGGACATGTCTACATCTGACTTGTTTTCCAAATGTAGACATGTAACCAGATACCTGCTTAATCAAGTTGTAAAATGATAACCTATATTTATTATGAATATTGAATAATATCTGTCAGTTGCCTGATGATCGCGTAAAGCGTGAAACTCAGAGTAGCGACGCAAACATTCAAACCTTGACTGAATTAATTCCGCTCTATTTATTATGGTATTGAGCGCTCTTCTACCTTACGTCAACTCATCGACTATTTTTTTGAATATAGTTTTCAGTATATATATATATATATATATATATATATATATATATATATATATATATATATATATATATATATATATATATATATATATATATATATATGTATATATGGGGTATAAATACGAGTGTCTCACGTATCTAGACGTGTACCAAGCTGCACTGGCGAGGCGTTGAACGCCGAAAAATGCATGTCTGCAGATTGTACTATTACGCTCCTTCACTTCGGTGTTGTTGAGCACTCTGCGGAGTTGTTAATGGGTGTCTAATTAGCGATAATGCAAAGCTCACTTCCCTTGTGGTGGTTTGAGCACTCTGGCCCCATTACGCTCTGCGCATGTCTGGATGCGTTGAGCACCGTGTTGTACCACATGCCTTGGTGAGAGCAAGTTCATGGGGTATAAATACGAGTGTCTCACGTATCTAGACGTGTACCAAGCTGCACTGACGAGGCGTTGAACGCCGAAACATGCATGTCTGCAGATTGTACTATATATATATACCGCATATTACATACCGCATATTACATAAAGAATATTATAAATATCTGACCAGAGTCAGAAACGTACGCGCGAAATGAAACTACGCCCGAACTCTGAGAGAATAAAAGGGCAAATATTTCAAAGCAAACGGTCATACGTTTTCGTTGCTTGATTTCCTGACTTGTCTGTTGCTATTAGAATCTAGAATCTGCATTTTAGCATGTTTGTATAATTTATAAGCAAACAGAAACCAATTTAGCAAGTATTTTGAAGTATATATGGTTCTCAAAGATGATAGTACAGAACGGCCACTCCTTGCAATCGAATTGTGAAGTGCGCATGTGGAAACATGTAATATGAGACTTTTCCATCCCCCTCTTGGGTTATCAATTTTCTATGGGTCACGTGACCAGCGTCCACCAGGGTCTTTCCTCCCCAAGAGGGAAGAGCCTGGGAACGAGGTTGCTAGCGTATGTACGTCAACGTATGATTGAAATTTTCCTTACGCTGGTATACGATACGCAATAGTGTGACAGGGTCATTACGGAAAATTTTGCACCAATAAACAGGTGGATGGTTCCCCGATTTTTTGTTAGAATTTGAATGCGTTCGCACTCTGCTGAACCCACAAGTGCATAAAAGCTTAACATAAGTAAATTTTATGCATAAAGAAACTGTTTAAGAGGCTGCTTTAAATTCCATGCAAGAGCAGAAAATCGTGCGCTTTATAAAGATATTTTAATTTCTCAATAAGTCAATATTTATAATATATGCATCCTGTCAATATTTTACGCATCTTTGCGTTCAGCTTAGTGCTATAAGGCATTCAAATTCTAACAATACGTTATTTCAATAGTTTGGTTTTTTGGGACACCCTGGATATACACACTTTACTTATGGCGTCAGATTTCCGCCAATATTCATGTTCAACATGTTTCCGTATTGAAGTGAATTTCGACATTGAACATATCAAATTCAGCATGCCACTTTAATTCAACATATTGTGTAGAGGGAATGGCAATACGATTTGACGTTTTAAAGAGATATCTTGTGAATATTAGAATCGATGACATCATGCACTTTGGAATTGCTGGATAGGGTTTGCAAAAATTTAAACCAATTTGAGCAGCGGCAGCGCTATTCCGCTATGGATAACTCTGCATTTCCAGCACAAGTTTATGCCGTGGAAAACCTTGGTCCTTCGTATGCATGATATACACGCGAGGGGCGATAAATTCGGCAATTGAATAGTTTTATAGCGAAGTAAGCAGTAAGATGGGTGTACGCAAAATAACTTTGGAGCGGCGAATGAGGTCATTTGGCACGAGTTTGTCAGATAAGAAAGTTATGCCCATCCTACACGGCCAACACAGTGGTCATGCAGCACTGTACATGTTAAGCCCAAGTCGACAAACCTAGGGAAACTGATGTAAATGTAATGCATACATGTTGTACATGTAGATCAATTCTTATTGAAACCACAACTTCCTTGAGGCCCACCAATTAGGGGTTATGACCGACAGGCGACATTCCTTAACAAGAGGCGACAGACTATCTAAAAAAGAGCGACAAACGACAGCTTCTGACTGGGAAAAAGTGACAAATTGTAATATGTGTTATGGGTCAAAAGTGACAGCGACATTTATTACAATAAAACAAGCGACAAAGCAGCTGCAAAATGAGTGACAAGCGACCTGGGTTACACCCTTGGTGGGCCTCTTCCTTGTGTGGGGATTGGTGTTAGTGAAAAATTCTAGACACATACCTCTGAATTGGCGAAGAATCAGGTCATTTGCCGACCTTAAACGAAAACAGGACTGCAAATTTCAGTTTTCAATAAAATTCAAATTTTCATGAATTAATCCAAAATGCGAAGTTCCTGGACTGACTGCCACCAACCGCCCTGCTGCTATACTGATATAGGCTTTTTATGTCTGATCAGCATATTGCATTACTAAGCTAACATTTTTCTTCAAACGGTAAAAAATCAGTGAAGTGCAGATGAAAGATGTGAATACCTAAGTATTCCCGTTCCCATTCTATGCTGTAGTTCTGTATAAAAACTATGTGCAGTCAATCATATTAAATCCTGATGATAAGACGCTATATATACAGTGTTGCATAACCACTGCATGTGTCGGTCGTGTAGGATGCGCATAACTTTCTTACCTGACACACTCGTGCCAAAAGACCTCATTCGCCGCTCCAAAGTTATTTTGCGTACACCCATCATATACTGCTTACTTCGCTAACTTTGAAACCTTGTTCCAATAAAAAATTCAATTCACCACTTTCACCGTGGGGTCAAAAATGTAAACAATCGCAATAGTTCGGACTACGGGTCACGCATGCAATATAACGCAATATAGAATAGCAATATGGTCGCAACTAAAATATGTGCTTGGGGAACATGTAATAATGATTCAAGATACTCGCACCTTTATAAGAGAAATAAAAACAATGACCCAATTCAATTTGATCATTTTCCTTGGCTGTACGACCGGCAGAAAGGAGATATAAAATGGATAATCGCGTGTCCACCGGGATGATAATTTTGTTTGCACGAAAGACAGCTATATTTATTTATTTATTTATTCAACTTAGCCAGGTAAAATTACACGAATGACATGCATACAATACAAATACAAAATTATACAAGTGACGAATGGCGGGGACACCACAACAGTTAAAACCAATTACTGCGGGCCCTTTTAACATACAGGTTACATACAGATATCTAGAAACAACAATTGATAACATTGGTCAAACTACGACAAGAGTTACAATTTAAACATATAGATCTCCATGTTCTTGGGTCCTCTGCATCAAAATAACTGTGCAGGGCTTTCGAATAATATTGTCGTAATAAACTTTTGAATGTACTTAAACTTAAATTTGGGTGTCTTAAGTCTGTTGGAAGACAATTCCATACTCTCGTGACGCGGGTAATATACGATCGCTGGAAAGTCCTAGTCCTGCATTTTGGGGGGCGGAAGGATAACTCACTGGCACTGGAATATCTTGTTGCTCTCGTGGGAATTATCGGTTTAGGGAGAACATCTTCAGATATGACAACCAGACCATTTATAGCTTTAAAGAAGAACACGAGATCCATCATGTACTCATGCCAGTACGATAACGGCATCAGTTCTAGAGTGATCAGCCTCTCACGGTACGACTCACTACACATGTAGGGAAGATTCAGTATGAACTTGGAAGCTCTTCTCTGGATACGTTCTGTTCGTTTGATGAGACCAATGGACTGGGGCGACCATACCTGACTTGCATAGGCAAGAACAGGGCGAACCACTGACAGATAAAGTGTGCGACGAGTCCTTATGTTGATTAATTCTCTACCGCTTCTCCTCACGAAACCTAACAGTTTGTTTGCTTTTGCACAACGTTCTAGAACGTGCTTGGTCCACGTAAGGTCACTAGAAACCCAAATTCCCAGGTCCTTTTCGGCTGATGTTGTTGTAAGTTCGTTGTCCTTGATCTTGTACGGATAAATAACGGGCTGGGTTTTCCTCGTTACACGCAGACATTTACACTTGAGTTGGTTGAAGACGAGACCACAGGAGGTAGACCAACTGTCTAGGTTACTCAGATCAGTTTGGAGTAAATCAGCATCACAGATAGAATCCACGCGACGAAAGGTCTTAGTGTCGTCAGCAAAGCAGGCAACACTTGAGTTCTTGACAACATCAGGTAGGTCATTTACATAGAGGAGGAACAGAATGGGGCCTAATATACTGCCTTGAGGTACTCCCGAAGACACTGGTTTTTCAGAAGAAGTTGCACCAAGAGTAGTAACGCCCGCGCTGTCGACGATTATATAGATAAGAAGAAAACCAATCAAGCAGAGATCCACTGATATTGTATCTTTCAAGTTTGGCGATAAGCGCAGCGTGACTGACCTTGTCGAAGGCCTTAGACATGTCCTTGAAAATGACATCTGTTTGTTTACCCGAGTCTAATAGGGAACCAAGGGAATTGAGCACCTCAACTAGCTGGGTGGTACATGATCTGCCTGGGATAAATCCATGTTGTGAGGTGTTAATTAGTTCCAACAGGTGATCACGCAGCTTGCTCAGCACGCAGCGCTCGAGGACTTTCGATACGATGCAGAGGAGTGAAATCGGACGATAGTTCTCAACGTGGGTTTTGTCTCCATTCTTGAAAACTGGTATGATGTTAGCCAGTTTCCATTCCTCTGGTAAAGAGCCACTATTGAGAGATCGATTAAATAGAGAACATAACGATGGAGCAATTTGATGGGCAGTTTCTTTTAGAACTCTGGGAGGTATACCGTCAGGGCCTGTTGCTTTGTTGGTATCAAGGTTTAGAAGAACAATTAAAACGTCGTCGAGGCAAAGATTCAATTCAGACAGAGTAGATTCGCAACCGGTAGTTGAGGGAGGAGTTATTGAATCAATTGGATTGTCGTTGCCGTTTAGAACAGATGAAAAATACACATTGAAAAGCTCTACAATGTCACGAAGGCAGGATGTTGACTGAACTGAGGTCGGGTCCGATCCACCTACTCCCATCGAGACTTTTCCTGGCACGCTGGAGTCTTTGGTTTGAAAAGAGACCAAAACCTCTTGGAGTTGTTATGCGGATCGTCCTCCAAGGTTTCAAAGAAGCGAGCTTTGCACTCCGAGATTAATTGTTTAACTTTAGAACGTAGTTCCCTAAATTTATTCCTTAAAGCATCAGTCGGAAATGATTTAAGTTTTCGTCGCGCAGTTTCCTCTTTCTGAATTGCATGAATTATTTCCGCATTAATCCAAGGGGGACTATTAATGTTTTTGATTGTTTTAGTAGGAATGTTCTCATGTGCTGCTTTAAGAAATAGCTCTTTCCATTTCATCCATCCTTGGACATTCACTTCCGACTCAATCGCAGAACATAAGTCAAGTGCTTCTAGTGCAGCCCTTAGTCCATCAAAGTTCCCTCTTTTGTAGTCAAAAACTCTACGTTTGAGTTTGGGAGCTGCTTTGACAGATGTTTTCAGATTGAAAACAATTGTGGAGTGGTCAGTTATTAATCCACTTTCAGCTGAGGTAAGTACCGATACATTCTCTACTTGACTAGGAACATTGGTAATGACAAGATCTGTACATTATTCCCTCGTGTCGGAAATGTATTCAGCTGCGTTAGGTGGCAATCATACAATTGTTCAGTGAATTGCACTTCATCAACACCTGTTGTTAGTTCCAGAGATTTCCAGGAGATCTTCGGGAAATTAAAATCGCCGCATATAAGCATGTTCGAATATTGGGAACAAGACTTGGTGAGGAAGAGGTTAAATTTTCCCAGCCATTGACTGTTCACATTTTGTTGGGACTTGTAGCAACAGCATAACAGATATTTCGAGTTCGACTTCGAAGTTAGCTCAACCGTGACCAGTTCTAGGTCGGTGTCAAAATTGATTTCGCGAGATGTTGAAAAAGAGCACGACTTAACAGCGAGTAGAACTCCACCAGCGCGTGATTTACGGTATTTTCTGTAAATAGTGTAGCCCCACGGAAGAATTTCAGAACTTTCAATATCATCCCTCAACCATGTTTCAGTTACCCAGACAAGATCTGCTTCTTCAGAATAAACGAGATCTTGAAAGTTAGACAAGTGACATGTTTGCTTACCGTCTTTCTTATTAACACTCAACAGACTACGAGCGTTAACAACGAGGCATTTTGCTAAGAATTTTCCATCCACCTTTTCTCGCCTCGGATATTGATTAGGAGTTATGGATGGACCAGGGTTGGGTATTAGAGAGTTATCACCATAGGTGGGCGGACGTTGGGGTATTCGAGTTGATTGAATGTCGGTTAGATGTCCTGACTGCGTAGTCATAGTGGGACCTGGATTGGTAGCGATATCACCAGCTAGAAAGATCAAAAAGACTAAATGCTTCATATCAAACTTCAAGCCATATCGGTGTTTACAAGGAAAGTTGGATTTCCTTAAAATAATGTCTCGGGTGGACGTCCAAAGAACACAAAGGCGATCAGAGATGATAGTAAGTTCTGAGGCGATGAGAAAACTCGTAGAAGTTGGCAGTGCTGCGAGACGCACAAATTCAGACTTCCACATGTTCTTGATATTATGTATCCCAAATAAGGCCAACCACAAGAAGATGATGTAGTAACTTGATTTGAAGCAAAACATGATGTATAGTTAATGGCGGGGAGTCCCCTAAATGTGGTGAAACCAGAGATGTTATTCAAGTTATGAAACCAAAGTCAAAGGTCAGGAATTAGTTCATACGCGACAGAACATAAATGAAACATCAAATGTACAAACAACACACGACAAACTGCACCACGAAGAACAATAAGTAACGCAAAATGTTACGAATAACAGACAAACACGATTCCAGCGTAGCTGTAGAAACTTGACTTTAATTAAACGACGGAAGCTCCTTTACAGGTACATAAAGATGTTGCCATGACGAATGACGCTTGACGCTATTTATTCAGATAATCCCAACGGTCAAAATTTAAAAACTCAAATTATTTAAATCGAGTTTAACGTTAAAACCCCAAAACGTGACACGATAACAGGAACAAAACACGTAGTCCACAGAGAAAATTTGAAACAAATCCAATGAGCAGAAAACGAGAGGAGGACCAAGGCAAATTTCATGATTCGTAAGGATAGGAACTGCAACACGATAGGCAACTTCGGTAATAAAAATCCAAAATAGATGCGAAGATTTACAAACAAACAACACAAAGATAAGTCCACTGTGTCACAAGAATTTTATGTTTAATTTGATACTGAATTAGTATCACTCCAACGAAAAATGAGATAGAACAAGATAAAAATTTGCAGACACTAGTCTAAGGGACTAGACCCTTGACCTATTTATACACCACTAACCCACATATTTGTAGTTTACATTTTATCGGTAATACTGGACCAACGAAGGCAAACCCAGATTCTGTGTCCGCCTTCGCGACCAATGAAAAGGTAATATATGCATTACTGTAAATGATTTTTTTTTTAAATATATAAAGTGGCACTCGTATGCATTCAGAAAGGAAACGACGGTAGCCTTCACCAAGAGAAAACTATACGTGCTTTTGAGAAGGATGTTGCTGAGGCACTTCTTAATGTGTCGTCGAGCACAGCACGTCCTCAGAACAATCATCTCTTGCCGAGAGTTACTGAGTTTGAGCGTGGAGAAAATCGACGCGATTATGCAAATGAAGACACGTCAGTTATTAATAGTGGTTGCTGTACTGGTGGCGATGAGCCGGACGAGGACATCAAAGAACCTAATATAAACTCTTCTCCATTAGAATGTTTTTCGCCAATACGTACAGGGAAACATCACAGTACGCAGGTTTGTAATAAAGTACACATAGTTTATACGCCTTCGTAAGAATATGCACGTATTTCTCAGCAGTCAGCAGGGTTTCATTTTACATCATGGATTACAATTTATATTTTAATAGCATAGACGGTTTAATTAATATACTCGCACTGGGCAGTTTAATACTCGCACTTATTTTTTGTTATGTAGACTGATCTTGAATTGGCAGACATATTATATACCTGTGTAATGGAAGGAATTTTTTGGATAATCTACTAAAGGTGGCAGTTGTTTATGATTTACAGCCATAAACAACTGCCTTCGTAACCGTTTAATATTTTTCAGTTCGGCGTCCTTGTACAGCGAAATCAGAAATATCCGCCAATTCAAGATCAGTTCAATCAGTCTACATAACAAAAATAAATGCGAGTATTAAACTGTCTATGTGCTATTAAAACATAAATTGTAATCCATGTAAAATGAAACCCTGCTGACTGCTGAGAAATATGTGCATATTCTTACGAAGGCGTATAAACTATATGTAGTTTATTACAAACCTGAGTACTGTGATGTTTCCCTGTACGTATTGGCGAAAAACATTCTAATGGAGAAGAGTTTATGTTAAGTTCTTTGATGTCCTCGTCCGCCTCATCGCCACCAGCACAGCAACCACTATTAATAACTGACGTGTCTTCATTTGCATCAATCGCGTCGATTTTCTCCACGCTCAAACTTAACAACTCTCTCGGCAAGAGATAATTGTTCTGAAGACCGCGCTGTGCTCGACAACAAATTAAGAAGTGCCTCAGCAAACATCCAGGGGCGCACATTAGGGGTGTGTGGGGGGAGGGTGTGACACACCCCCCCCATGTTTTGTGAAATATATCTAAAATGTCGGTCCCGAAACTTGTATGGGACGAAAAAAAGTCGGTCCGGCTAAAATCTGAAAGACATCATTTTGCGTCGAAAAAAGAAATAGGTGGACACTTTGGAAATGGAATCTAACAAAATTAGGCGACTTTTTGTGGTTGTAACTTTTCTTCCAACCTCGTCCTAAAATACGTGAAATAGTGTTCTAATGAACCTAGAAATTCAAAAAAATCGAAATCCATAAAAAAATTTTGGCCCCCCGAAAGTTTAGAGCAGAAGTTCTGAAAAACTAAACGTTTATTTAAACTCTTGGAATTCTATCCCTGTCTATGAGTCCATCCGCAATTTTGGAGGAGTCTACGTTCTAATAAATCGAAGAGAGGTTACCGAGGTATGTGGCAGTGTATAGCATTTATACACATTTAGATAACCGATTACATCCGCATCGAGTGAACACGCAGCTTTTCGAGTTTGAAGCATAAATTAATTAAGACTGCCATTCGTTCAGTGATGAAAGAAAAAAGTCTAAGGGATCTAATCACTCTTGGATATGAAAAGGATCTCACGGATACAATATAATGGACCCAGACACTGTTGTTGATCGTTGGGCCGAGCTGCCAAAACAGAGCGCCTTATTTGTGTGAAGTAATTCCGATTGTCATTTTTCGATCAAATAAGCTGTGCAGGTGAACTATATAAAAACTGATTTGACTGCCTGAAATCTATTGCTAATTGCTATAACTTTCTAAGCAATTTGAGTTGTCAGATATTTAATACTCTTAGTTGAATATCATGTGGGCACGCACTATAGATTTATTTTGAACCATTATTGTCTATATTTGAGCTCTTGACTTTAATAATGTACTATTCTTTAATAATATACTGTGGGCTTGTGGCTAATATACTGGCTATAAATTCCATTTAGAACAACAGGTTAATTTCTAACGGTCTACTTTTTGACACCCCTGTATGCTATTTTTTTACATAGTTACTCGACTTTGTGCAATAACCGCAGGGCCGTCGCATGTCATGCAGACCTTTATCATTTAATCTGTGACAAACTGCAAAGAATGAAGATATTACCATGGATAATAAAGTACATGTTATTTTACAATCCATGGTATTACCCACACTTTCCTGCAACTTATTCAACATATAATAGTTAATTAAATACGCTTTCGGCCATTTAGTACTACTATAAATTGTAAATTTCGACATGCTAAAACGCTTTTTTCTGACTATCGGAATTCTGTTAAATCTTCCCCAAAGTCCAGGAAATGGCATTGCAGAGACTCTAAATTTAAAAATTTCCTCGGACCTCGGCCCTCGCTTTCAGCCTCCCCTCCCCCCCCCAAATCGAAAAGAGTTTCCTACGGCCCTGTACCATACGTCCTTGCAACTCTTAAATTTTATATTAATTGTATTTATAACAAGACTGTGACATTAATTAAACCGAACTTTCACCGGTTCACGAGTACTGTGCACACCTTAAAATAGTTGGCTTTTCTTATCAAACACAAATACTACAAAAGTCGGTCCTGGAAAATAGGACACCCCCCCAAATTTTTTTTGAATGTGCGCCCCTGGCAACATCCTTCTCAAAAGCACGTAGTTTTCTCTTGGTGAGGGCTACGTGGTTTCCTTTCTGAATGCATACGAGTGCCACTTTATATATTTTTTAAAAAATCATTTACAGTAATGCATATATTACCTTTTCATTGGTCGCAAAGGCGGACACAGAATCTGGGTTTGCCTTCGTTGATCCAATGATCCATTATTACCGATAAAATGTAAACTGCAAATATAGCTGTCTTTCGTGCAAACAAAATTATCATCCCGGTGACACGCGATTATCCATTTTATATCTCCTTTCTGCCGATCGTACAGCCCAGGAAAATGATAAAATTGAATTGGGTCATTGTTTTTATTTCTCTTATGAAGGTGTGGGTATCTTGAATCATTTTTACATGTTCCCCAACCCAGGACTGCAAAATTACCACTGAAAAAGGAATTAATTCCAATTACAATTACTTGCTTTAAAATCTAATAAATTCATGATTACAATTACTTGTTCTAAAATGTAATTAAGTACAATGAAAAAATTACTCCGGAAAAAAGGAATTAATCACAAATTCCTTTACCGGCAAATTGTTACTATATATATTATAAGACAATATCTTATAAACATACAAGAATTTATCAAGATGATATTTCAAGAAATTAAAACATTTGACATGCAAATCGAAGCATGTAAACTTAAAACTTTATTTGCCAATATTTGGCGCTCTGAGCAACGCATGCATGCACTGCATGTAAACAAAACATTTAATACATACAGAGCCAGATTGCAAAAACTTGCAAAGAAGGTCTTTTTTCATAGTCTTAGAGAAGAATAACAGAATTACAGAATATTCAGCCCAAATCAAATCGAAATCGGGCTTTGCATCAGAATTTGATCCGCAACTCACTCATGCAGAAATCGAGTAAAGTAAAATTGCGATGGGCTTAATAATACTGACCACTGTAAATAATACTGACCATTCCAATTTCCATTTGTTATTTGGCAAGAAGAATATATTTCATCGCATGTCGCATGAAAAATGTCAGCCGGTGAGATCGCGAAAGGCCCGTAAAATTTACTGTAAATCACTGTACTCTGTACGTAGGACTGAAAGTTCTCAAAATAGCCGGTGCGAGGCGAAAAGCCGGTAGGATTTAAATCACTGTAGGAAAAATTCAGTGTACGTACGTACAACCGACCATGATGCATTGCGCTTGAGCTCGATGAGCCACCAAACTGTGGGGCTCGCTCAGGCTCGCCCCAATTAATATTGGCGGATATTTAACGCGGTCAACCTGTTTTGAAACTTCAACACTGAAAATTACTTCAATATCTATACTTCAATGTTGTATTTCACTTAAATTTGACATGTTCAATATTCAAATTAACATCAATGAGGGAAACATGTTGAAATTGAAGCAATGTTGAATTAAAGTGGCATGCTGAATTTGATATGTTCAATGTCGAAATTCACTTCAATATGGAAACATGTTGAATTAGTATCAACATGAATATTGGCGGAAATCTGACGCCATATTTACTGCTCCGCCCTTTCAGAGAGATTATGACAGTCTCGGTTCATTCATTTGTTTGAGAATAAGTTTCACTTTCACGTAATATATAATATAGGCTACACTTACTATATAATATATCTCGTCGGTTTTAATATAATAGCTCAAAGCAACAGGAAAGAAATTCGTTATTTACATCAAAACGTTTTTGTATACCCGACCAGTGTATTAAAGCGGATTGTTTATAGATTCTAATTTCGTACCTTGTCTCTCATATAAATGTATACTAATACACTCATATATAGGCGTACGGGATTCATATCTATTATTGGAGGAGCTGTGGTCTATTGCCCGAAAATATTTCGTGTCTACTAATTTTTCTTAAACTGATAAACCCCTAGCTCGATCCCCACCTCGTCGACAAGCTTTTTTAAGTATGTTTTTGTTTTTCCTGCATGTTCGGGATCAACTATTCTTTTCGACCAGACAATCAAATCCTGCTCTCACTAAAATTTCTTTTTTCCGAGATGCGTTCTTTTGATAAATGGCATTTTGCGAGGTGTGCTGTAGGATATCATCGATGCAATTATTTAATTTTGTAAATTCTTGGCCCCTTCCTTGACAAGTGGTTAACGCACTCTTAAAAATTATATATTTATTATATACAAAAGCTAATATTCCTTAGCCTGTATACAGCCGTAATATTCCTTAGTCAGTCTTCAACGAATTAAAATTGAAATGATTTTACGATATAACTAGGGTACCTGCAAGGTAGGGATTGCTGCGGGCATTAAAAGCATGCAAATAGAACTACAGTAAATAGAACAAATTATATATCGAGCACAGTTATTGCACGCAGCGACTAGTGAGCTGTGAGCTTAAGGTTACTTTATTTGATGAAAACACTGATTTCATCATTTTTTACATTTTTATTGATTTATATTGAGGGCTGGAGATCTCTCGATTGCCGCAAGTTTTTTTCAAAAATTTTAAAATGCGTCCGAAATATAACAAAAAATGTTATGACCACTGATTCGTTTGCCGAGAAAGTTGTAATTGTAATGGACCTTTCCCCTTATAACTAAAATTTTGATCTAGACAAAAATTTCATCACAGCTTGAAAGAGCATCACAAAATTAGTAATATTCCAAAGTTTTGTTGCAAAATCTTGTAAAATGCGGATAATATAGCCTTGCGAAATTTGCCGTTTTTCAGTCATTTTCTATTACAAACGGGAAATTGACATCCGATTTGGGTGTTGGGGCTGCAATTTCCCGTTTGTAATGCAAAATGACTGAAAATTGCAAACTTCACAAGGCTCTATTTTCCTCATTTTACAACATTTCGCAACGAAACTTTGGAATATTACTAATTTTGTGGTGCTCTTTCAAGCTGTGATGAAATATTTGTCTAGACTTGCCTAGATCAAAATTTTGGTTATAAGGGGAAAGGTCTAACTCGTTACCGGATGTGTGACCTTCAACCTCGCTTGTGTCTTCGTGGTGCACGACAGATCTTCAACTGCATTTTCGTTTGGCCGATTTAGATCGCTCTGTATAGCTATCCCCTTTTTACATTTGCGTTCCGCCGGCATATTAGCAAGATTTTTCGTGTAGTTTCTCGCATGTACGCATAGTTGCCAACTTTTTAAAATAAAAATGCGGGAGTTTATAGCGCAGTAAATATACTACAGTAAAACTGGATACCCCAGTCTTCGATGAGTAAGAGTTGCTGGTTGTAAAAAGGTCAATCAAAAGACAATTACACAATTTCGAAAAAAATGTATATCGATCTTCATGCAATTACATTGTCATTAACAATCAAAAAGCAACAACATGCAGTTGCAATATCAAACAATAAGAAACAGCAACAACAGTTGCAATATCAATTTAGCTATCTGCATTTTACAATTTTCTATGTTTGCGGGAAAACAGCGGGAGGATTTTTCAAAATGCGGGAGGAAAAGTCAATGCGGGAAATTTGCGGGGAAAGTGATCAAATGCGGGTTGGCAAGTATGTTTACGGTTTGTGATAAATTGATAGCCTAATGTGAGAATGACACCGAAAACCCTTGCCAAAGCACACTTTACTAATTTTAATCCGATTACACTTTGAGGTGATAACAGGGAGCGGAAAACCCCCCCCAAATCTAATATCGTCTTTTACGGAGATTGAAATATTCTCAGATTGTCCCCACAAAATAGTTTATAGAAACGCGCACGTTTTATCCGATTCCCTCCAAACTTTGCCACAATGTTGAACAATAGTACAGCAGCAAAACCTTGTTCGCGTTTTTTATTTAGTGCCATACTTTTCAAGTTATAGGCATCTATTCAGTCGTTCCCCCAAAATTTAGATTAGTCAACTTGTCGGCTTTATATCAAAGCAAATACAATACCTGTCAAAAAACGCGAACACGGTTTTGTTCTTTGATCATTTGAGATGGGAAATATAATGTTTCGGAAGCCTTCGAGGTAAATCAGAAGCGTTCTAATCTCGTGGCGCAAAGGTCGTCATATTTTCAAAAGCAACCCGTGCCAAGTACAGTTTTTAAAGATGTAGAATTTTTGGCAAATCGTTAGCTACAGCAATGATTTATCATTATGCATGCCAAATTTGAAGGGAAAAACTTGAAAATTGAGCGCGCGGTGAGCATTTTGGTGAAATGGGTTTCCGTAAGGAATCGATTCTTACCATGAGTGGAACCATAGTGGAACTGAGAAAAAGCAATATAAATGAAAGGGCAATCACAGCCACAGGTGACAGATATTAAACATGTGCGTTTTATTGACATCAGGTTGCTTACTCAGGTATATAAATTAATTAAATAACACAGGTTTTTGCTATCAGATTTCATATCAAGTCTGTTTTATACTGCTAGGCGCATTTACCACATTATATAGACTACTGCACAGATTTATTACAATCAGAAACCAAAACTTTATAAAAATATAGAACTGACAGTGGCCAAAGTCCATTGAGTGAACAACGCACGAATCATTAATGCAAAAAGAACGAGAATTAGAAGGAGTCGCCGGACTGCCGAAGCGAAGGCCTTTCAATACATGTGCTTCCACGTATATACACGAAACATCACTTGATGAAAAATATGAAAATCAGCAAGAGAGATCTCTATCTTAAACACATCTCTATGTAAGACTTCCATGCATTATAGCACTAACAGCTGACAGCTCAAGCAAAGTCGATGGCACAGCAGAAAATATAATTTATATACAAGTGCACGGAAGGCGAATATAAATACTGTAGCAAGAAAACAATGAAGTGAGTACAATCGACAAAAGATTACCTTTCAAGAGAACAAGTCTTCTTGAGAAAAACGATATACCACTGCGGTGAAACTCAAGTGTGAGAAATTAGAGCCAACGACTGTATAACATTTAAGTTTACTGCGCAACTACTGCGCACGACCACAATTCCTTGCGTTTAGAAAAATTGAGAAATATTGCCCCACTGTCGAGAACTGACAGATAAGATTATTATTTTAATTGATTATTAGTGCATGACGTAGGAATGATTAGGTGTCAAAGTGAGGGTGTGAGTGAAATAGTCACGAAAGAGAGCAGAGAGTTAGTTGAACAATCGTAGTTGGACTGTGACAGTGAGTGAGAGAGAAATTGTATTTGTGAAAGAGAGATAATAGCCCGTGCGCTATCTATCTATACGTAATCGTGACCATTGTGAACCTTTTAATTTAATTTTTTTTTATATATCTTTGGTAAATTTTATGTTTTGTTTGAATATACATTTTTGTTACTTCGAACATTTGTGACTTGTCGAGGACTACATTTTGGAGGCGAATTCTCGACATAGTGGCACCTCCTGAACGGGATTCTACTGAATCTGTGATATGAATATGGACGGGAAAGAGTTGACGAATCTCGAAACGAAGCTAACGCAGCTGGAAATCGCAACACAGAAGTCAAAAACATTGCTGAGCTCAGGTAAGCGAGTAGCAATTAAGCGACGCGTTACAAACAACGGCCAACGAGGCCAACGAGTGCAGACGCACTGTTGAGGCATTTAAAATCACAAACAAAGAAGAGCTTTCAGAAAACAAAAAATGGAACGATGACTTAGATTTAAAGTTTGAGCCCGCTGACGCGGCTATTCAAAACCTAGAACATTTTCTTGCTGAGGCCAAAAAGGCCGAAAAGTTTGTGACGCACGAGGAAGAGTTAAAGCATGAAATGATACTGCATGAAAAGAGAATGGAAATGCAATCCGAACTGTCTTCTGCTTCGTCTTCAGCCCCCAAACACCAAAAGGAATGTAAAGAATCCGAAGTATTTTCGGCTGGGACTGCAAAATTACCCAAACTCGTTATCGCAAAGTTTGGTGGCTCTTTTACTGACTGGCCAAAGTTCTGGGGGCAATTCTCTGAAGCGATTGACAAAAGTTTGTTAGCGCCAATAACGAAGTTTACGTATCTGTTAGAGCTGCTTGAACCAAACGTAAAACGCGGTGTCGAATCTCTTCCACTTAGCTCTGAGGGGTATAATAGAGCAAAAGTAATTTTGAAAGATAAATACGGCAAAGAGTCAGAAATAGAGAAATGCTATGTGAAGGAAATTTTGGATTTACCAAACATTCCGGGAGCCAATCCCCGTAAGATCGCTAATTACTTTTGTGATAAACTTACGCATTCAGTTCAAGCGCTCGAGACGATGGGCAAACTTAGTAATGTTAATGGGAACGTATCAATGACCCTTGATAAACTATCGGGAATTCGGGGGGATTTGGTGCGCAACGACCCTGAGTGGGATGCCTGGGATTTTATCAAACTAACTGATGCCGTGAATCAATGGGTAAAGAGAAACCCCGTAACTAGCTCTGGAGGGTAACGGGAGGAGAACAATGCAAGAAAACTCTTCCATTCTCAAAATCAGCGATTTGTGCCCAGGGGATGTGTTTACTGCGGTGATTTGGGCCATAAAGCCGTCCAATGCGAAAACGTTAGTGATGTAGGCGAAAGAAAGAAAATACTGGCAAGAAAGGGTCTTTGTTTTAATTGCGCAACGAAACCCCATCGCGCTGCTGATTGTACAAGTAAATCTGCCTGCAGCCAATGCGGCAAACGTCATCACTCATCCATTTGTGATCAAGCTAAACATGCGTCCGGTGATAAGAAGTTGATGACAGATGGTGGCAGTGGTGAGGGCATATTTCCTGTAGTTGTGATTAAAGTAAATGGTTTAACATGCCGCGCGTTGATAGACTCTGGCGCCGGGAGCTCTTATGCCTCAGCTCAATTAATTAGTGCACTTGTCATCAAGCCGAGTGAAATTAAAGATCAACAAATTGATATGCTCTTGACATCACGCAAAGCAAAGGTCGAGCAATATGACGTAACCATCACTTCCTACGACGGAAGGCACGAAATGATGACGCGATTAAACAAGGTCGATAAGAGAGAGCTCTTGTTCATTGAAAACCCTGAGTACGAGAAGTTGATAAAGCGTTATCAACACCTCAACGCGGTACATATGGACGATCACGACACGAAAAGTCAACTACCCATTCACGTCATCCTCGGAAGCGGTGAATAGGCCCGTATAAAGACAGCAACGAAACCTCTTATCGGGGGAGAAGGAGCCAGTGGCGGAGAGGACCAAGTTGGGATGGATGATCCTCAGTCCTGGGGCCGAGTTTGACAAGACGAAAATGTTCTTAACTCAGACATCGCAAATGGATTTCGACAAGCTATGCCGTCTAGACGTACTCGGTCTCGCAGACAGCGCAGAGAACGATCAACTTCCTGTATACGAAGAGTTTCAAGAACAACTCGAGAGAAGCCCCGAAGGATGGTACGAAACTGGCCTGACCTGGAGATCAAACAACCCCCCTCTGTCAACCAATGAAATGGGGAGTCGTCGACGCTTAGACAACTTGGTAAAGCGGCTGAAGGCCAGTGATCAATACGACCAGTATAATGACATAATTACTCAGCAGTTGGAAGATGGGGTGATCGAACTGGCTCCACAAGAAGCAAGTGACAAGGAATTTTACATTCCACACAAAGCGGTTGTCAAAAACACGGCTGAAACAACAAAGCTGCGTATTGTTTACGATGCTTCCGCCAAAGAATCCAGGACATCGCCGTCCTTGAACGATTGTTTAAACCCCGGTCCCTCGTTGCAAAATCTTCTTTGGTCCATCTTGGTTCGTTCCCGATTCCTCCCTATCCTGCTCACTGGCGATCTTGAGAAAGCATTTCTTCAGGTGAGAATCAAAGAAGCTGAACGTGATGCACTCAGGTTTCATTGGAAAGCACCTCGAAGCGATGATACAGTCGTGTACCGATTTACAAGAGCGTTGTTTGGCCTCACATGTTCGCCTTTCCTTCTGAACGGTGTATTGAACGAACATTTGAAATCATGGGAGACAAAACGTCCTGAACTCGTGGAAGAGATACGCAAGAACCTTTACGTTGACGACCTTATGACGGGGGGAGCGACCATAACGGAAGTAAAGGAAAAGAAGAGTCAAGCCAGAGAAATCTTCGAAGACGTTCAAACTGCACAAATGGCACTTGAATGTGAAAAAATTGGAAAGTCCAACAACGAATGACGAGGAAATAACATTCGCGAAGCAAGAGCTTGGAGATGAGAAACCGCGGACCAAACTGCTTGGGCTTTCATGGGACAAGTCGAAAGACAGTCTAAGCGTTACACTTGATCACGAAGGTTATGGCACAACAAAGAGAAGTGTGTTATCCCAACTCGCCAAAATATACGATCCACTAGGGTTGGTCTCTCCTATGACGTTGCAAGGAAAGAATCTCTTCCGTGAAATGTGTGAAGCCCGTATTCCTTGGGATGGTGAATTACCCGAGACCTCGAAGCAACGCTGGGAAGAGTGGTACACAGGACTCCCACAAAGTTACGAGATTCCACGATCCTTAGCTCCCCACCAGGAGCTCGTTGCAGCGATCACACTTCATGCCTTTGGCGATGCAAGCAAAGTTGGAGTGTCGGCCGTGGTATATGCAGTTGTAGAGCAAGAACATGGAACAACGCAAGGGTTGGTGTGCGCGAAATCTCGATTGGCGAAGCGTAATCTCTCCATACCTCGTCTAGAACTCGTTGCCGGACACATGGCAGTGAACTTGCTATCAAACGTGGAGAATGAAATCGATCAAAAATTAGTCTCGTCGGTCCATTGCTGGTTGGACTCCACAGTAGCGCTCTACTGGATCAATGGTCAAGGAGAATATCGCCAGTTCGTTGCCAACCGCGTTGCCAAGATCCAAACCCACACTCGTGTGAAATGGCATCACGTACCAACGAAACAAAATCCTGCTGACTTAGGTAGTCGCGGTGGAAGTGTTGTTGGAAACGACCTTTGGGAAAATGGTCCACAGTGGCTGAAAGACCCCGCAAAGTGGCCACCAAATCCAGTGCTCGAAGCGAATCGAGAAGTGGAAGAGGAACTAAAACCGACCAAGAATCAACAAGCACTAACAACGCTCAAGCAATCGATCACCATCGACATATGGGAAGAGTTGCTCAAGAAGGTTTCTCTCCGGAAGGCCCTGAGAATTCGTGCCCAATTCAGCCGGTTTGCAAAGAATCGTAAGGTATCCTGCGAAAATCGGAAAACAGGACCGTTAACGTCGGAAGAAATCGAAGAAAGTGAACTTTGGGCGATTAAAAGAACGCAAAGTGAAGTCAAGAAAGATCCTGAATTCCACGACATCCAACTTCAATTGAACATTCAGCTTAACGGAAACGGAGTACTCGAATGTCGCGGTCGCATTGAAGGAGATTTCCCCGTGTACTTGCCTCGCAGTTCCACCTTAGCCAAGAAAGTAGTCGAACGAGCACATCTAGTAACCCTCCACGGTGGTGTCGCTATGGTCATGGCAAAAGTACGTGAGCGATTTTGGATTCCAAAACTGCGACGGTTGGTGAAGCAAGTGCGGAAAGATTGTTACGGGTGCGTGAGATTTAGAGCTCAAGCATATAAGAAACCTCCACCTGGGAAGCTGCCAATCACGAGAACGCAAGGTTCAACCCCGTTCCAAGTCATTGGAGTAGATTTTGCGGGTCCAATACGCTACCGGACTAAAGCAAAGGCGGAGAAGAAGGCATACCTGGTGCTTTATGGCTGCAGTTTGACGCGTGCAGTGCATCTCGAGATCTTACGGTCACTGGAAGTTGCGGAGTTCATGCCAAGTCTGAAAAGGCTCATCGCAAGACGTGGTCGCCCAAAGATTATATATTCCGACAACGCGAATACCTTTAAGGCTGCCGACAAATGGCTGAAGAAAGCACAAACGGACGAGAAGTTTAACGCATTCCTGGCTGACAACGCAATCGAGTGGAGGTTCAACCTTAGTCGTGCGCCATGGTGGGGAGGCCAATTTGAACGCCTCATTGGTCTCTTCAAAAGAGCGTTCTACAAAACGATCGGTAACGGAACGTTGACCTTAGACGAATTAGAGGAAGTAGTATTGGATGTGGAAGTGGCTCTCAATAATCGTCCGTTGACCTATCTAGAAGATGACATCCAATTACCAGTACTTACACCTTCCTCAATGCTGAACATTAACCCTTGTGTCCTACCTGAAGCTGATCCCCACTACCTGGAAGATAGAGATTTACGAAAACGTGCGAGACTATTACGGAAAAGTAAAGAGGCGATGTGGAAACGTTGGTCCCAAGAGTATGTTCGAAGCCTGCGCGAACGCCATAACCAACGAGTCGGCCAACAGACCTCCTATCCAAAGATGGAGGAGATCGTCATAATTCGGGACGAAGACAAAAAACGTCATGCATGGAAACTCGGAGTCGTGTCCAGGGTGATGAAAGGGAGAGATGATGTGATACGGGGAGCTAGTATACGGACCTCGAACGGGAATATCGAGCGAGCGGTCCAGCATATTTATCCCTTAGAGCTATCCTGCGACGAGACAAAGTGGACCCCCAACCCGGAAGCACCAACCTTTACCCCACGTCCGACCAGGGATGCAGCAGAAGCAGCGAAGATACGGTTGAAGCAAGTCGCGAATGCGGAAGAACACTGATGCGAGACATTTATTATAACTTTATTCCATATTAACTTTATATATTCTATTTGTTAGGTAGTAAATGATGAACTACAGCAACGAAGTCAGTCCCTTCAAGGACATATACCTCAATTCTGAGCTATATGGGGGAGTGTGTCGGGAACTGACAGATAAGATTATTATTTTAATTGATTATTAGTGCACGACGTTGGAATGATTAGGTGTCAAAGTGAGGGTGTGAGTGAAATAGTCACGAAAGAGAGCAGAGAGTTAGTTGAACAATCGTAGTTGGACTGTGACAGTGAGTGAGAGAGAAATTGTGAACCTTTTAATTTTGTTATATATCTTTGGTAAATTTTATGTTTTGTTTGAATATACAATTTTGTTACTTCGAACAGTTGTGACTTGTCGAGGACTACATTTTGGAGGCGAATTCTCGACAACACTTAAAGAGGCGCTGTTAGGGTAAATTCTGACAGGAAACATATGCCTTGAAATGGCAACATATGCCTGGAAATGGCAACATATATAGTTATGAAATAGCAACATTGGTCGCAAACTCTGTCTATTAAACTGTGACGGCGACATGGAAAAGAAGGAAAACAATAACGAAATTCCGAAAGCAATATTGGAATGTTCTCAAGCGGGCCACATTCGGGGTTCGAATTAGCGGCTCGTTATTCGCAATTTGCGAACGTAAATTCGCTTTTTGCGAATGCAAAATCATCCATTTTGCGAATGACGTTTGGCAAAAACAATGTGTTAATATACTGTTATTAAAGTTTTACATAAAAGGTTGATTTTGACAATCACTTCGAATGTATTTTACTATAATGAAAGATATGGAGCATTTTGCTGCCTATTATTGCAATTTTGTACTAAAAATATGTGTGAAATGAAGAATATGGCTACAATTTCTTCAGAAAATTTACGAAATTCGCTATGAAACGATGCAAGCAGTGTTTCCACTTTTCAAAACTGAAATTTCCTTCAAATTTTCAAGAAGGAAATTTGCGAATCGATTTCTCCTTCCTATTAAATTCGAACCCTGACATTGCTTGTTTTGGAAATCAGATGAGCGATATGCACAACCACCCTAACAGGATCTCCTCAAACCATGTTTTATTTTGAGAAATTGGATACCAGGTTAAGAAATGCTGGTATCCACAAAGAATTCCAGGAAAAAATTCTAATCTCACTCAAATTCTGTGCAGTCTCGTGCTAACCGAGCAGTCAAATCCTAACTCTAAGGGAGTCCAGTGGCACTGGACATCAATTCCCAATGCATATTTGGCTTCACTTATTTCATGCAAGTTCTTACTTCGTAACTTCAGATATAATTAAATAGCATTCGCTGTGAACAACCCACAATGACACCAATCAACATTTGGCAAGTTCCAAATTCCCCCAACATGACATGCGGTACGTGACTTGGGGGAGTCTGAATTTGACATATGATATAATTATGCAAAATCTCATCTCCATGAGAAAGACTACTTTGCAAAGCTCAAAGTTAGTCGGCAAGTCACTGGTCATTGTTCGACCAATAGACAATTCCCATTATAGACTAATTTTAAAACTAGGCAAAGAAATGCAAATAAATCACCACAGCTAGAAAGAGCATACCAAAATTCGTAAAATTACAAAGTTTGGTTGCGAAATGTTGTAAAATGTGGAAAATAAAGCCTTGCAAAGTTCGCAAATTTTGTATACTTTTGTATTGCATGGTGAAATTCCTACCACATTTGGGCCGAAAATGGTAGCAATTTTCGCACGCAATACAAAAGTATACAAAATTTGCAAACTTTGCAAGGCTATATATTTTCCGCATTTTACAACATTTCACAACCAAACTTTTATACATAATTTTACTAATTTTAGTATGCTCTTTCTAGCTGTGGTGACTTATTTGCATCTCCTTGCCTAGTTTTAAAATTAGTCTATAATGGGAATTGTCTATTGATGATTAGTTAAATTTATATTGGTCAATGGGTCATTCCAGTTAGTAAATATCCATACAGTACCTCCCCCACAGAGGAAATTGGAAGTTAATTAACCCCACCACCCGCTTCAGACGTCCTATTTTACTATTATCAGAAACAAATTTTGACTGCCCCCTCCCCTCCGGATAGTAGAAATTTTCTCTGTGGGGGGAGTGTGGATTATTTCTGGCACAACCCAATTTTGAAATAATATTGAAATTAATATATGATTTTTGCCACAGCGTTTTGCACTTTTGCAGGCAAGAGAACAGTATTCTATATAACCGGCTTGCAATCAATCTCTTGGAAATTAAGACAATAAACGGCAGTCCGGTTGGTGCCTATTCAATCAAAGATAATGACTAATGAGATATATGGATTCTTTTGTTGAAATACCAATCGCTTTGGCGACAGAGTAAAATAATAAAGTACATTTCCAGGGGCATAATGCAACTTAATGGGTTAATCAAGATCCAGTGTGGAAAGATTGTATCGCACATCCAAGATATCGGGCATGTAATTTTGTTGTTTTCTACATATTTACTATTAAATTTTCAAATCTTGGTTGCACAATTTCCAAACTTTCCAGTCGGGATCAAGATCATGCATGCATTAATTGCAAAAGCAATCGCAGTTAATTAATTGTCCTGATATTGTTGTTAATGCTGCAGTTATCATTTAACTCTGTCATTGGGTAATTGCAAACCTCTTACATTTAAGCCTGGTCGCCATTAAATCATAAATATCACAACTGTCATATGTCGCAAGAGTTGTAGAAATAGGCTGGTTACAATTTCTGCGATTGCCATATTGCTCTGATTCTGAGATTGTGTGACTCTTACGATTTAATAAAAACCATGCTGGCTTCAGTTTTGAGATCGTGATAATTGAATACTGTCAAGGGGCAGGCTATATCAAGGGCCGATCAGCATGTTTTATTTGAGAATACCAGATTTTCAGTTTGTAAACAAGGTTAAAATATGCTGTTATCCAAAATATTTTCCAGAAAAAAATCTAATCTCAAACCCTGAGCTTTGTAAGCAACATGTATCCGCATGTAAAATCTACCATACACATTTAATTGCGACAATTCATTGTCATTAAATATATAAACACAGTATATATAAATATATATAATGTATACCTTCAACTTGTGCGCCAGTCTTCTTGTGTTCTGTCATGGCGGCTTGTACTTCCCGTCTCGTAAATGCGTTTCAAAGGTAAAATCTTCGACTGCTACACTTAGTTTGCAGAGACTAAGAGTGACTAAGCTTACAGCATTTATTACATTTTAGTTGTGAAAGAATAAAATCTTCTGCGAACCTCTTCCATTTCCAGGAGATGTCATCTGATCAAAAATCGCCAGCCATTCAAATCGAGCGCCCCCTGGAAACGTTAAATTTCTAAAACATTTCGGGGGGTGGACGAAATATCTTGTTCGAGTTGTGTTTCCATTTTTATGGCAAAATTTCCATCTACGAACGAAAACGCGGAATCGCGGGTACGGATTGCGGGATCGGGATAACCTGAAGTTCACGCCCTAATTTGAAATAGGGCCTGACACAAAACCTGTCTAGACCGTGGGACGCCCACATGTTATTTTTAGACACAACATGCAATATGATTGACAAGTGTTATAGATTTCGTTACACAAAAAATTTATATTCTCATGATTCATGAACATGTCCGCAGAGTGTGCATTTTGCTTTATAATTAAACTTAAAAATTCAAGGTACTTTTATATAAATAAGATTCAGACAAAGATTTAATCAGTCAGTTCTGTGCACGGCTAGACTGCCAAGCTTTCTCAAGGTCTCAACTTGCTGGACGCGGATATTAGGGATATACTTTATTAAAACGGGCTAACAACAGCAACAATGAAATTCTCAATCGTACCACGAAGAAGGCGATGTAGCTCAGAAAACAACGCAGGTAGGACCTGATATTAAAAATAAGACTTTTGCCGGCGAAGCCAGTTGGCAAAACATCTTGGCTGTCAACAACAAGCTTTCGAATACATGACTAGTTTGGCTGTTCTTTCGGCGTCGTGTGTCCAAAATTCGTCCAAGATTTTGATAAAGCCCTTTCAAAATACTGTTTTTTGATTTATTTTCTGCCATAAAGCATAAAAGAAAAAGAAATTCGAAGAAATCGATAATATGGAATTTGTACGTGCGTTTGACCTTTATATTAATTGTCGCCTTGACCGAGCTATTTTTAAAACTGTTGTTTATGTAAACTTGCAACCAATCAAAATCCTTCATGATGCTGATCAACCAATCAGATTTCCCGTCCACCAGGTGGACGGGAATCTCACACTTTAGATAGGTTTTGTGTCAGGCCCTATTCTGTGATTAGGGCCTGAACTTCAGGTTAGGATCGGGATGGCAGATGTCCGGAATGCGGAGTGTGCGGAGTAGAATATTAAGTGAACGGAATGCGGAGTGCAGGATTGCGGATATGCGGAGTACGAAGTGCGGGTGCTGAGCGAAAAATTAATTATTATATGCTAAATTTTATATTGATTAGATTTTTCTAATTCAATGCTTTTCTCATCCAACAATGTTAATTTTTTGTCGTATTTCATTTTTTACGAAGGTATACAATTGTACGAAAACGTACAGTGATAGCTGAGTTAATAGTATTTCTAGCAGAAGTTCCATTTTAAAATTTTGTGACAAGACAAGAAACGTGATTGGTCAATCTTACAAATTCTTTGATCCAAACTCCACACTCAGATATCCTTAGATATCCCCAGTTTCAACCAAGTTGCGCAACCTCGTTCCCAGACTCTCTTACCGTCCCAATATGGAAGAACCTAGGAACGAGAACAGGTGGGCAATTTGTCTGAGCATGCGCGAAGAAAATCAATATGGCGACATATATTAGGAGTGTTTCGTGAATTTATCTGGTTTTAAAGCTGATAAAACAACATTTTAATGAACGAAAACTTTGTAATATTTAGTGGAAAACATTAAGCTATGCATTCCAAAGGTTTTACATTGAAAATAAGTACTTTTGCTTTATTTTATTGCTTTTTATGCTTTGAAAACAGGCAAGCTCATTTTTTGGCAAAAATCTAATCTAATATTTTACCCATCATTTGTTTAATCTGAACAGAAATAGATAGAACACTTGGCTATATAAGTTACAAAGGTATTGTTAGCTTATCTGAAAGATTTCATTATTCCTGGTACACATTTTAACAAAGAATGAAATGTAATTTCAAAAATTTAATATGCATATCACAAGCAATAGTTTTTATTAGAACAACACATAATAAGTTGTTATTTTCTATTTTTACAAAAACAAGTTTGGAAACAGGATTTAGTCCTCCAGCTTGATGTCATATTCCATTTATTTGGATATTTCAATAAATGAATGTGAAATAATAATTTAATCTTGTGCAAAATTTGATACCAACACACATGTGAACAGATACTATCACCTAAAAATAAAAGAAAACAGAACTTAAATTTATCATCTAATGTTATGAAAAAAATCTTAGATACTACAGGCATATAGTGAGCACAATTATTTAACAAACTCACTAAAATAAGTTAAGTTATACTATGATAAGAGGATGGCAATAGATAACAACACCAAATGTTGTCATCTTCAGTGTCCAAAAAAAGTGCCGCGCGCATTTTTCATGGTCGCATAACTGGTATTGCCACAAACCCAGGTGAAAAAGCAATTAGAAAAACCTGGTTTTGGGTGATGAGCATAGTCAAATTCTTGACTTATTCAATTTCCTATGTTTTTCCAGGTAAACAGATTAAACATTGAAATAAGCCACATTCGGGACCTCATAGAATCCAAACTATTGTGTATGAACCAGACTTTTTTCAATTTTCTGTGATTTACATAACTCTATAGTTATAATTTAAGGGTCAAACAGTATTGTTCAAGACATATTTTTCTTCCAGAACACCTTTTCAAAACATTAACCCAAACATATCAAAAATAGTGTACATTTACAAAGGCAATTTCAACCCTCTGGCACATTTTTCCCATGAATGATTTCAATTCTAATAAAAAGACTATAGATAAAACTTTGATTTAAAGCTAGTTTCAAGTGATGAGCATACCCTAAATTTTAAGCTATACCTCAAAGAAGATGGGTCATTTCAACATAAACATTGAAATATGGGTATACTGACAGCTCTGTCACACGTGTAGTTTGACATTAGCAGCCCTTCTGAAACATTTTAATGAAAGTATAATTCACAAAATTCACATTTTCACTTACTTCTTAACATCTGTTTTAATCCAACTAGCTCTGTAGGCACGAGCGAAATTTAGTGTTGATGTAAATATCCATTTAGTTCATGTTTCCCCGGTGAAAATATAGTCTATTCCAAAGCTGATTTCGACGTACTTTAGCTTTTCAGAAACCGTTGGCCTTCCTCAGTGAGATTATCAACTGTTTCACAAACATATTTGATAGTAAACAGCTAAAATATTCTCCGAAAGTCTATATTTTTGCTCTTCGACGCGAAAATGGCAACTCAAGAAGAAATGAGCCGCTATTTTTGGTCAGCGTCGACAAATTGCCCACCTGTTAGGAACGAGCAGAACGAGCTAGGTTGCTATCATTCTCGTACCCAGAGCACTTCTTACGCGCGGTGCGACGAGAGGCTCTGGCGAAATCCATAACCGGGTACCATAAGAACATGGTAAGAAAACAATATCCGGTGTTAGAACTAGCCAATCAGATGCCAGTTCGGATATGGATTTGGCCAGAGCCCCTCGTCGCACCGCGCGTAAGAAGGGCTCTGGGTACGAGAATGGGTTGCTATTTTGTGAGACTCTCGTCGCCCCCATAATATTTCCAGTGGAACTCAAGTCTGGCATATAGACGCGCTTTGGAGAAAAAGGTAGGCAGAGTTATTAATCGATTAGTGTAAGGACTTTCAATCAGTAGAATGTACATTTCGATCGAAACAGACAAACACAGTGCGGGTGTATGTCACGAACAGAAATTTTCGTGAATTTTTCTTCATTTCTTCAAAGTTCACGCAATAGTGATTTCGAATATTTTCGGTAAATAGTTTATTAAAACAATTGTACAAAAGTCGCAATTCAATGTAACTGAAATTGGCAAAAAAGTACATCAGAAGCAAAATAAAATTTTTTTTGTCTGTATATGTTGTTGACAGGTGCTTTTGATAGCTTACGCATGCGTCAACAAGCAATTGAAACAAGCTAGCAATCGATATAACAAAATTGGAGCGTTCGCTAAGCATAAAACCCAAGGCTAAGTTGTCAAAAGATGAATATCACATAGAGCATCGCTTAAGTGAATGATATATATAGCCTGCAGAAATGGTTATAAATTGAGATCAGGATAACTTTTTTTCATAGCGAGTTGACTCGGAGATTCAAACTGTCCCCTAATTTTGCACTATAGATTCAAAGTTTTGGATACAAGTCAAAACTGAAATGATTTTCTACAATATTGAAACAAGGCAACGTGAATTCAATGCAATAAAATATTAAAATGCGTCGACATCAATTATTTGGGGATGTAAAGTGCAAAGTAAATTAAGCAATATTAAATTAAAAGAAAAGAATATTTATAGTTTTAATGCACGGCTCTTATTCTTGGTGAAACTGTATCATTGCAGCCATTTGAGTTAAAACCCGTTGTTACATTGTTTGAAGCTAAATGCGCTTTTCCGTTAAAGAACGGTGGAACGCGACAGTACGAACTCGCTTTGTGTCGCAACGGAACAATGAAGTCGCAAGAGATGTATACGTTTAAACGGCCTAAACATGTCAATCAACTTATGCATCTGATTAGTGCAGCTTCCAACCTCGTCCCCAGGGTGCGCGCCATCACGAAGATCCTGGGGACGAGCTGAGGTTGTATAGCTTCATCTCTGCGACCCTGCGATTCCGGTGCAATTTCGCTTCGATTCCTGCCAGGAACTAGCTATAGTTGCAATTTTCGTAACTGCTTCTGGTTAGGTCTGATAAATGTATAAAATTCACACTCGAAATTCTCATCTAAGTGTGCTCAAAATCTTGGCATGAAAGATATGCCGACTTGGAAATGGGCTAAGAATATTACGTAGTATTTTTTTAAAGATATAACTCGAGAGGCCAAGTGTTCAAATAACTTGACAGGTCAAAACTGATTAAACGTATAAAAAGGTCAAAACATACTAAAAGTCAGAGACTGTTCTAATTAATACCGAAACATTTCTGTTTAACGCCGACTCAGTTCCCTCAAAAAATTCTTTAAAATCTTTACCTATACGGTATGCAATATTCCTACTGACGACTGTGATCACAGAAACTTTGATAGTGAAAACCAATCTTTAGGCCGTTTGTTTACTGATATTTTACGAAACCGCTTAGTTTGACAAATTTCGAAAAATTTCGCCAGACAATACAAACAAACTTTAATTAATTTAAAGTGTTTTCAATTTCATTGTGTAAATGTAGTCAGTCGTTTTAAGTATTTGCTACAATAGTATGCATATTGTTGGAACTATTACACGCTCACACACTGTAGTGCTCCCGAGTGAAATAGCCAGTTTTGTTTTTGTTTCCCCGATTCCCTTCGAATCTCAATGTTTCCCTCTACCTCAAGAGAACAGACATTTGAAAGTGTTTTGTTATATAGCAACAAATTTTTAAAAATCAACACCATTCATGCAACGTTAACAATTGTATTCATGTCAAAAATTATATATTAGTGTAAACAAGGTTTAAATTAAACGCCGGTGTTAGCAGCATATGCTGTTGCCTGCTGTGTATTTTTCTTCTCTTTTACATAGTTTATGAACTAATTGGGAGTTGTGCCGCCATTTTGTTAATTGATGTACGTACGTAGCTCGGCCGAGGAGGGAGACGCAAGTAAAAACGAATATAAATAAAAACCTACGAATTTCAGTGAGCTTATTTCAGTATTTTTAGTACAATGATTAAGTTTGAAAATAAATGAAATTGGTTATATGGCTAGGGTGAACGCCAAACCTGCTTGGCTGATTTGGGCTCACGTAACTTTAGATAAATGATGTATCCCGCGGGCAGGGGCGGATAAGCAACCTTAGTTTTACCGGGCTTTAACGTAAAAGGGCCCCCTGGTGACGTCATGACCAAGCGGGAATACTTCAGCGAATTTTCTCTTTCTGTGACTCGAATTATAAACTAGGTTTAAAAAATTACATTTCTATAACGTTATATAAAGAGATAGCCCTTATCAAAATATTATATTTCATATTATCATATATAGCTTACAATTTAGGCTTCATCGCATTAAAAGTCTCTGATATTCAGATGAATGTTGCGCCACATCATCAATAATGTTGTCCCTGGTGAAAGAATCTAACTAACAGTTTGTTTTCCACCATACATGATTATAGTAGCAACGATTCTAGATGATATGCCGATAACGCGTCTCGTAATCGTGTTTTGAACAGTTTACGTTTTGAAAATGTTCTTTTGCAAAATTAGAATGTTAGGGTTTGTAACCCAAGTGAGTATATATACATTTTAAGACCTAACCAGGAACGACTGCGAAAAATGCAGCACAAGGTCCTCTGGTAGGAATTGGACCTACGGTCATGCGATTCCGATGCAGCGCTCTAACCAACTGAGCTACAGAGGCCAGCTGTTGAGCAGTAACCGATTATCTATATATACATGAACTTACGGTTACAGCTGAACAGCTGGCCTCTGTAGCTCAGTTGGTTAGAGCGCTGCACCGGAATCGCAGGGCAGTAGGTTCAATTCCTACCAGAGGACTTTGTGCTGCTTTTTTCGCAGTCGTTCCTGGTTAGGTCTTAAAACGTATATACTCACTTGGATTACAAACCCTAACATTCTATTAATTCCACCAAGTGAAGTGCAAGAATCCCAATCTTTTGCGGCAAAATGTTCTTTTGTAACAGGCAAGGTCAAAGCCAGTTTGTATGCCTAATACAAGTTCTTGTAAGCAGCCGAATGCATGTCATAACGACTCAAAAACATGCATACACATGTCGGGCAACTGTTGTTGCATCTTCCACGTAGCCTAATAAATCTACCACGACTTGTAGTTTCTGATTCTCACCATCATCACGGGCATCATCTTCAGTCTCTTCATGGTCATCAGTGACTGTATTACTTTCATGAGACCTTGGTTGAGTTGATTTATTTCCAAACGCAAGATTGTCATCGTTCGGTTCTCCGATGAGTCTTAATTTCTTGCGCGCATTGTCAACTTCACTTTCTATGTTCTCTGAATCCTGATTGGAATCATCTTCGTGCGAAAAACTATCGCAGTTCTTCAACGATGGACAGTTATTGGCGAAAGTAAGAAGCTCTTGTTCTAGTGATTCCGGCTCGCCGGAATATATGATCACCAAATATATCCAACAGCCCAGTTACAGAGACTCTTGTCGGGACAAATCTCAACGGACATATTAATGTTAAACCTGTGGGCTGCAAATCGCTTTTCCAAACTTTGCAATGCAGTATCATAAACAGAATGATATACAGTTACCTCAAATTTCTCGAGCTCATCCAAACTGCCAATTGAATATCATCTCGAGCATTTTCCCCGTCTATTCGTCTCCTTGCTTCTCTGCGTGGTTTTCGCAAGCAATCTTCAACAATAACACTTTGAAGAGCCTCTTCTTCGGTCAACTGAGAATTGATAACTTCCACAAATTTATCAGTGGCTATCTCAGTGATGTCAAAAAACTTTCTGCTATATGTTCGCGAAGCGCAAGAACAGATATTCAATATGAACCTATATGCTTGCGCATAGTCCATCCCACCAGTCTAGGAAAACCATGGCTGTAAGGATTACCCGATGTTCCAAGAGCTTATCTCGAAGCCCATACAGCCTGAGTTCTTACGGGTTGGTTTTGACTGTTTGAATGCAGTAAGTACGTCAAACAACGGCTTATAACCTGGTAAACAGATGAGTCTGGATCTTTAAATGAACCAAAGGTGCGTGTTAAAGCACGAGACTTGCTTGACCATCTGGTGTTGCTTATCATTTGCAGGCGCTTTTGTCCTTTAGTTCCGATTTGATATTTAACAATCATATCCCTCCAGGCGTCCATATGCATATGCTTGTACGAATCATTGAAGGAAATTCTCAGCTTCTCCACCGACCAGACAAAGACAAGGCTGGAATTGATGTGCACGAATCATACACAACTGGGTTGAGTGCGTGAGCATCACAGCGAATATACACGCATGGTTTGGAACGTTCTCCTTTGTTTTAGCCTGCAGTCCATTGTAAATACCACTTACGTTTGCGGCACCGTCTGTACATGTGCTATCGGCTATACAATTTGTTAACACAATCTTGCGTATTTCTAAAGCTTTCTTCAAAAGTTGGAATAGTGCTTCACCTGTTCCACAGTGGGAGAATGTCACACACAACAAACACTCGTCCGTTTCATTTAGAACGCGACGGACACATATCTGGTCAATAACGCTAATATCATGAGTAGAATCTAACAATATTGCGTTTCATTTAAATTATTGAAATATATATTTGATTTACAAATTTAATAAGCGCTATTGCCATGGTTTCCGGCCTGCGAGCAGGCGTTCAAGCTACTTCCAGGCCCTTTTGATAAAAATTTAAGGTCAAGGACAAACCTCTTTGGGGCACCCTATTGTACAAAACTGGGGGCTCACCGGGCGATCGCCCGGTAGCCCGGTGGGCTAATCCGCCCCTGCCGCCGGGCAACAAGTGAATAATTGTTGCCCGATCAGGTTCCTGTTGAGGAGAGGTTTATCGTCGTGCGTATGTGTTTCTCCTTCGAAAATGATCAGCGGAGACCTCTGTGGAGAAAATAGAGTTCTTTTTAAGATAGACTAAAAGCGGGAAACGCGAAAGCGGACGTACGGGCAGCGGACATGCGGATATTTTGTCATTTTCTGTTGACATTAATTGTTAAAGCACGCGGCTTTTTATTTTAACTTCAGTGTGCATGAAAGCATATTTGGACAGGATATATGACCGCCGTATGAGTCACAAGTTAGGAACAGTTACTATTTTAAGACTTTTAGGGTTACGATTAGGGTTTGGGTTAGGATAAGGATAAAGATTAGGGTTAAGATCAGAGTATAGTTTAGGCATGCGTTTATTATTTCAAGGTGAAACGTACTTTGCATTAGTAGTTTAGTTACAATTTTTACCCTCACTCTAATTACTTTCTGTGTGTTGCTACAACACCCAAAATGCCGTAACCAATGCAGCACTGTAGACGCCGATTTGTAGTGTAAATGTCAACACCATTTTTGTGTTAAGGGAAAGCCTATTACTGGAAACACCAAATTTACACCCATAATAACTATTGACATACCTCCAGGTGACCTCGGATCTCGGAAAAAGGCCTGGCACTAGTTGTAAAATAGAAATCCATATCTGGTTCAAAATTACTCAATATCTCATCAATGGTATTAGATCACTTATTTTAGCACTGATAGGTATTACTGCCCCCTAACGACGGTTGTACGAAGACGGCGGGATATTGTGCTAACCACCAAAAAGAGAATTTTGTAAACTTTCAAACGTTGGTATAACCAAGATTAAACTTTAGTATTTTCGAATTGCGAGGTCCATGTATCCGTACTTTAATAAATTTGGAATTATTTTTACACAGGTTGAAAAATCACTATCCGGTTTATAACTCTATCCGGCCTTCATACAATGGTGCAGCAGCCACTCGCTAATAAACGCCTATAAAACAACAATAACTTTCATCATTTGATTAGTTTAAAAATGTATTTGGAATAAGTTTAACTTAATGTTCAAGTTTCCTGTTTAAGAAATAGAAAACATACCAATCTTCTCATTTCACGGGAATACCCTGAGCATGCGATCACGGCTTCAATTTTTGAATTGCAGAATAATTAGATGCACTATCTAGTGTATATAAGATATCTATGGGAATAAACAGTTAAGCACCAGGGCCCTCATCGAGGGTGTCGAAAGACTTGAGACCGGACCAACCTAACTTCACGTTGCAGGCAGCAGTACAGGATTGTTTTCTGAATTTTTCCAGGTTCAAAGATGGCAGGAAAATTTATGCGTATTTTCCTTGTGACGCTGGCGATACTGGAATTGGTAAGCCGACCATATATATCTGTTATGGAAACTTTTTCCCAAAATACATGTTACGCTGTTTGATTTAATGTACCATAACCGCTTTGAATTTTTAATTTGGCATGCAAGATTTGAACTTCCTGCATTACTAAGTGAGAAGTAAATGTTGGAACTTTATGTACCTTTAAGGTGGCTCCCTACAGTTTTGATTGTACAGCACACAATTGTATTCGAAAAACCATTATATTCTCATCTTGCAAAGTATGATCACGAAACTCGGTCACATAACTGCTACAATATCGCTAGTTACGAAAAATAAAAAATTCGTTAAAAATCCCCGTTGCCATGGTAACAAAGCGATTTTAAAAAGGGCCAATTTGCAGATTCTTTGATAATTTTTTGAAAATTTCTTCGGTAAAACTTTTTAATTTTTTGCACATAGTAATGTTATCTATAATTCCTTCAAATAATAGCATTTAAAAAAAATCGTACGAGAATTTTTTTTTTAATCCTCAAAAAGCCCTGTTTTTGGAATAAAAAAAAAATTGGCTCGTACGATTTTCTTAAAACTTGCACATTTTACGCACTTCAAGATTACAGGAAAGTGTGTGGAGTTTTAAAAAATTTTACGGAAGGAAACACGAGAAAAATACATTATTTTTATCTATATGACGTCACAAAAATCAGGATTTCAATTTCCTCCCGCGACCAGCCGACAATCCCACCATAGACAATCCAGAAGACATGTCTTCTGGATTGTCTATGATCCCACGAAGGCCCGCGCGTGTATATCACGACGCAATTTTTAAAAACCCGCCGCGTGTGCAACGTCGACCACGTGTGTTGCGTGTAGCACTACTAATCTCGCGCGTGGACAAAATTTCCGCGACACAGACCTAAAACTGTAGGGAGCCACCTTAAAACGTTGTCAACAACCGGTCTCATTAAACAAATAATTTCAGTACAGTTGCCATTTGTTCGCGATTATTGCCTTGTTAATTTCACTATTAATTAGTTTATGTTATTTAATATCAGGGCCTTTTTAACGATATAACTGAAGCAGGGGGGGGGGGGGTCAAAGCCCCTCCAACCCCCATGGAGTCCCGTCAGTCAAAATCCCTTTTCTCTAAGATATAAGCAAAACATTGGAAGAAAAATGGAATTTTACTTACGTTCTCGAGGGGTAAATCCATTTTGCTCTCAATTTGTCGATTGAATGTCCAAAATAACAATTCTGGATGTTGGCCAGCCCAATTTTTCTTGTGAGCTTCATCGAACATCTTTTTCTTCGATTTTATTACAAAACTATTATATTGTCAACAATGGTGCACTTGCAAGTTCGTTCATTGGAAAAATAATTTTGTATCATCAGATTGATAATAAAAAACGACATATAAGACATTATTAACGGTTACCACGGTTTTTCAAGCCGTTTCTGAGTTATTACTGCTTCAAAATGTGAAAAAAGTTCAAAATGGCGCAAATTTCCTGGGCGCTAGTCTGAAAATACGTTTTCAAACGCTCATAACTCAACAAGAACTTGAGAAATCAAGGTAACCATAATAATGTGTTATATGTAGTTTTTTGTGAACTTTCTGACGACATAAGTTATTTTTACAATAAACGAACCTGAAAATTCACAAGCAGGAACCCACAAGAAATTTGATTGCGTTCAACATTCAGAATTATACTTATTAGGCCTAAAGGCACAATACAAAGCTAAATTGAAATTGCCCCTCGATATGGTACCTGTAGCGCCCTGACTATGTATATCATTAGGGTTTCGGCTTGAATGTATGATGCATATCATCATACATGAATGTGTACTTTTATGTATGATGTATATCATAATGCACACATTGATAACCTGCAGACCCTCGCCCCAGCCCCTACTCTGACTCCTGCTAACCGGAGGCACCTAGCCCATCTAGCCCTTCACCCTGCATGCAATGATGGGAGTAAGAACTACTAGACCTCAATCATAAGTCTTCTAACATGTAAGATATTTAAAGAAATATAAATTAAATACAAAATCTCTTGTTTGCACTGGAATGAATCGAGCGCTTCGTGAAAAATTGTCACAAGTTTGAACGTAAAGGTTAGGCAAGTTCTCAGGAGTTTATGGGTCTTAATGTCCTAAATCGTCTGAGTGAATCATAAAGTGATTACTGTTTACGCAAAACATTTATGCCACGCAAAAAAGAGTTGTTAAGAAACATTTTGGTCGCATGAATCTGCTAATAAAAATATTTAAAAATATTTAAAAGATTGTTCAATCTCTGCCAAGGCATTCAACGGAAACGACGCGTAACGTTTTGCCTTACAGCAATTTGGAAAGATTTTCTACTGATTTGTAAAATCAGCAACTAAATTGCTTGAAGAAGTGAATATTTTATAGATGTTAACATAACTGCATGATTAACAGCAACTTTCAGCAATTTCCCCCGAAGTCAGTATGTAATAACATGATATGATGGTGAGCACAGATATGGCTTACTTGCATGGGTCATGAGAATGGTCTGGCAATGGCCAAAGAAACTCTCAAAACAAACTTCAATAGTAACGTGGATGAGAAAGCTGTAAATATAGGAACTATTTTAGTGAGTGTACCGCCAACAGCCGTAAAATATATACTTGAAACCCTTCCATTGTTTTGAGGCATCTTATCTTACTGAAGTTGTAAATTTCCCTAGAATAAATTAATGGACAACTTGTATGTTAGACTAAATTTTAATCTAAGTAAAGACAAGGGAATCAAACACTGATCACAGCTAAGAAGAACATAATGGATTAGTAAAATTGCAAAATTTGGTTGCGAAAGTTGTAAAGCTTGGAAAATATAGTCTTGCAAAGTTCGCAAATTTTCAGTATGTTTGTATTACGTGCGGAAATTGTTCCCATTTTCAGCTCTAAAATGGTAACAATTTCCTTATTTCCGCACGTATATACAAACACACTGAAAATATATGCAAACTTCGCAAGGCTATATTTTCCGTATTTTACAACATTACGTAACTAAATTTTGCTATTTTACTAATTTTAATAAGTTTTTTATGGGAATTTACTTTTTTTTGCCTAGATCAAAAATTAGTCTAACATACAAGTTGTCTATTGATAATAAATTGGAAATCGTGACCGATGAGTATTACGCTTACTTATGTCATTTACCTAGCCTAGACTATTTAATAATATATTTACAACGATTGTGATTACTTTCAACAGTCAACTTTCCCTACATGGGAGGAAACCGGAGCGTCCGGAGAAAACCCACGACTTTCGGCAGAACGTTGACAGACTCTTTTCATATGAGTTTGTAGGGAGAAACGAGCCCACGATCTCAGAGCAAGCGCCTTTCACCTCTGAGATCGTGGGTTCGATTCTTGCTATGGACTCATGTGACTGAAAGAGTCAGTGAACATTCTGCAGCCGAAAGTCGTGGGTTTTCTCCGAGTGGTCCGGTTTTCTCCTACAGGGCAAGTTCGCAGGGTGGGTTAAGATAAACACACTTTAATGTAATGTGATGTGATGTGATGTGATGTGATGCGATTCGATGCGATGTCATGTCATGTCGTGTCGTGTCGTGCCATTGTAATGTAATGTAATGTAATGTAATGTAATGTAATGTAATGTAATGTAATGTAATGTAATGTAATGTAATGTAATGTAATGTAATGTAATGTAATGTAATGTAATGTAATGTAATGTAATGTAATGTAATGTAATGTAATGTGATGTAATGTAATGTAATGTAATGTAATGTAATGTAATGTAATGCAATGCAATGCAATGCAATGCAATGTAATGTAATGTAATGTAATGTAATGTAATGTCAAAGCTCATATCACGCACTTCATTGCATTTCTTAACAGCACCTGTTATATCCCAAATATGTAAACTTCTTCAGCTGATTTTGATATATTTTTCTTATATATTTTTACCTACAGCTAACTTTCGCAGTTATTATTGGAGCATTTGGATATTTTGTTAAAGAGATTGGCAAGACAGTTGAAAAATTACAATCTCAGTTTGGCATTGCCATTGAATCCATTGATATATTTCAAGTGCTTGTAGACCTAGGAATGGCGGGGAGGCATGAATATTTTATTTCTGCGGCCTGCATTGGCTTGTTCACTGCCATATTGTCATTGGCGATAGCAATTACAAATCTTCAAGAGAAAACCCTCTGGGCTGCAAACGTAAGTGGCTATTTAATATTTTCTTGAAAGTGAAACAATTGGCGTTGCTCCGCCACCAATTTAGATCAAAATAATCTCAGCAAGTTTACTGCAGCCTTCATCAATGGCAGTATGAATAACAGGCTCTGCATGTTTTTGCTTCCCATAAATACGATTGGATGGAAAGGAAATGAGGGCTTGGCGCAAATCACTGTCTGATCGCATGTATCCCACCAAATGTCGGATAGTGACTGTAGTCACATCCATAATTCGATATGTTGTTGTTATTGTGTAAAATTTTTAAAAAAATTTTCGCACAGTTTGATTGGATACTAAATATAAAATTTACTGTGAGTGAAGAGTGATCGAGTAAAGTTTTTGTCAGCTGTATTTGTATAGACTTGCAACAACAACAACGACAACGATCATAGAAACTTCATTGCCATCTTCTTATAATTAATGTCCGTTTTTTCATGTAAGTTTTCTATATCGAATCGAAGCGTCGTGACTTCAAAGAAAATATTTTTCGAGTGTCGAAAAGTTCTCTTGCAATCATACCTCTACAGCAGTTTCGTTATCCCCGAGTAAAGGCGGATTTCCAGTCCTCGCATGAAGCTCCTCGCAGCTCGCTGCGAGTGCTTGCATCTAATTAAAATTAACTGTTTAGCATTGTGATTGAATGAAAGTGCTCATGCATCAGTCGCAGCGAGCTGCGAGGAGCTTCGTGCGAGGACTGGAAATCCGCCTTAACGCGTGGGGCCCGTAGCGAGGGTACTATTTCCGCTCGGCTATTTACACACGAGGGAAAGGAAAGCATTAGCGAAGTCTGAAGTCCATCAATATCGCGGGCGCATGGCTATGCATGGGTGGTCATGTCATCTCACTGATCTCAAGAACATAAGCATAGCTGTTTGCCAGGAATGAAGTAAGAAAAGATTAAAAAAGCATGCATGACTGAAAGCTTGGGCATTTTTCACAAAAAGTTGTAAATCACCTTTTTCAAATTTTAAAGAAACGATAAGCATGAGAAATCCTTATTTACAGGGTAAGTTTGTTTTTACTGTTTATGTATCAGTACTTCGCTGTCCAAATTTCGCCTGTACGTCGTGGCTGTGTGAAAGTTCTTTGAATTAACTACACCTTTTTCTGGCCGTTTTCAGACATTTTGAGATGAAATTCAAATATTTTTAGATAATATTCAGTTTGTACAAACGAATTTCAGACCTTTGTAATTGATATTGAGATTGCCCAAATGAAATTAATATATTTCCAAGTGATCGCAAATATGTCAGGTAAATTTCAGATGAGTTCAAACGATATTCAGATCCTCGATAACAACATCAGATATTTGGAATTGAAATTCAAACATTAAAAAGAACACTTCAGGGAATACCCATAGAAATGCAGACAAACTCAATCAGACAATTTCTGCATAATTACAGGGATAAATTCCTGTGTGTAGACAGGGAAGACAATATATAGAAAATCACATGCAAATACAACAACGTTAGGTTTAAAAGGTGAGCTGCAGTGATGTGTGACAAGCAGACGACCGTACAATGTTGGACTGTAAAATCGTCTATTTGTAACCTCGCTTGTTGTTGTTAATCTACTGTACACTACAACGCCTCGTGGTCGTTATAATCGTATATCACCCATGGATAGATGTAGAATTGTGCGAGCGGCAAATGACGGTGGTAATTGGCGACAACTTGCGGAACAACTCGGAGTAAATCACAAAACGGCTTATACATGGATTCATGAAGGTCGCGACGACGCAAAGCAGAAAGGGGGAAGACGCAGAAAGTGTACTAATGAACAAATTGATGTCCTTGTTGCCATGATTGAAAGCGATCCTACGTTGACGTTGAGGCAATTGTCAGACAGAACCTACCCGAATTTGGAGTCCATGTCAGCCCATCAACTATCCACAATTATTTGCAGGGGAGACTCATAACCCTAAAAAAGGCACATGCTATCCCTGCTACTATGAACACGGACGCCAACAAAGAACTGCTAAGACAGTATGTTCAACGGGTCAGTCAGTACATGAGAAATGGAAAGACCATTATTTGCATGGATGAGACAAACCTTAACCTGTTTTGCCGTAGGAGTCAAGGGAGAGCACGTGTTGGTGAGCGAGCAGTTATGACGCTCCCGACATCAAAGGGACCAAACATTCATATTATCTGTGCATTGTCAGCCTATCAGATGATATACATGACCAGACGTCGTGGAGCGTTTAAATCCGATACTGCCAAGGCTTGGTTGCTAGAAATGTTGGAAAATCTCCCTCTTGGAATTACAGTCGACTCAGTTGTCGTGGTTTGTGACAATGCTCCTTGTCATAGTCAGTTTGAAGAATGTGTGATTGAGCAGCCGGGCTTAACTATCTGTCGTCTGGGGCCGTATTCCCCAATGTTGAATCCTGTCGAGACTGTATGGAGTAAAATGAAAGCAGTGGTGAAACAGCGAATGCGTGTTCCTCAAGTTCAGCGTCCAGGAGTGGGTGAGCAACGCCTTCAATATGTGGAAGCGTTAATTGACGCAGCGATGGATCAGATTACCGTACAGAATATCGCGAATTCATGCCAGCATTCTCAAGGTTTTTTCCAGCGTGCGCTTAACCTGGAAGACATGAATGTGGGAGCATAAAATTGTGTGTTGTTGTGTAATGCTTCTCCTTAAGAATATCATTTATTACATTGTAGTGAAGCAAACATTTTCTGTGTGCAATAATTGTGTAACAAAATAATTACGAATGAACCAAATGCTGTAATATTGTTGAATTCAAAATGAAAGAGTCTGAAATCCACAATAAATCGTCTGAAATTGTATTACATTATTTGATTTTTTTGTGTACATTTAATTCTCAAATTCACTTGCATTTCTGCACCTTCATTTCCCTAACCTGAAATTCATTTCAACAATTTTGAAATGAACGTGACTAAGTCTGATGAATTTCATCTCAAAATGTCTGAAAACGACCAGGAAAAGGTGTAGTGTTAATCTTTTATAAAAGCTCAAAAAAAGGCGAAAATTATTTTCACGAATTTGACCAAGTACCACTGACCGCAGAAATTAATCGAATCATAGCAACGGACGAGAAAATATCCAAATTGAAAGTTGAAACAGAGAAGGATGAATTCCTGCAGCAAGTGAAAGAGTCATCCAGGCAGGATGGCCAGAGAAAAAGAACGTGCTATAGATCCAACTCTGGTAAATTATTTTCACGTGTGAGACGAATTGAGTCAACTGACTGTACAAGAAGGTGTCGTCCTACGCGGTGAGAGGGTGGTAATCCAAAATCTTTAAGAAAAGAAATTCTGGAGGATCTACATAGTGCGCAACAAGGAGTGGAATCAACATTACGAAGAGCACGAGAGAGCATTTATTGGCCCAATATGAACCGAGACATAAAAGAATACATTTCCAGATGCGAGACACGCACCACATTTTCCACTCGACAGTCGAAAGAGCCGCTTTCAAGCCACGAAGTACCAAACCGTCCCTGGGCAAAAAGTGGTACGGTACCGACCTCTTCCAATTTCAAAACAAGGATTACCTGGTGACAGTAGATTATTTTTCAAACTTTTTCGAAATACACCTCAGCACCACGACTTCCAATACAACTAGTTATAAAGAAGTTAAAATGTTACATTGCGCGGTACGGAATACCGGATGAACTCTGACAACGGGCCACAATACGATTCAGATGAATTTCAAACGTTCGCCAAATCCTTTTGTTTCAAGCAAACTCGCACTAGCCCACACTATTCTCAGTCGAACTGTAAGGCAGAATCGGAGGTAAAGCAATCCATAAGGATCCTGCAAATGACAAGAGATAGAGAAAGTGGCACCGATTATTATCTGGCTCTTCTTAACATTCGAAACACGCCGCAAGAAGGACATAAATCTAGTCCAGCCCAAAGAATGATGAATCAACGTACGAGGACAACCCTTCCTACCTCAAAAAACCTTCTCAAACCCGGCGTGGCAGGAAACATTGGTACAAACATAGCCAAGAAACAGGTGAAACAACAACGTTATTACAACAGAGGAGCAAAAACACTCGAGCAATTGCACGAAGGCGACAGAGTTAAAGTCCAGGGAAGTTTGACCCCAATCATACGAAGTTGAAGCAAACGCCAGGATATATATTAGAAATCGTAAGCATCTACGCAAATAATTGCACACCAGCCCAGGAGTTGGAAGTCGAAGAAGATGCATACCTATCAATGCCAGATTATGGTCGAACCCGAAGGAGCACAACAAAAGAGAGACGAAACACAACCTCCAACCTCCGTGAATTACCAGCGGAGCCAGAAGGAGACCAGGAATATAGGGTGCGCAGCGGGCGCGTGTCTAAAAGACCAGTAACATTTGGCGAACTCGCAGTTCAGTAAATGTTAATTTAAAACTGATTCATCAGACTACTGAACTAAAGTACTGAACACTTATTAATATTTTACTCATTGTTATATATGTTGTCCCGTCAAAGGCCACGATCGAACAAGAATTTAGTTGAGGCCAGAACAATCTTGACTTAGGATGTGTTTGTTAAAGAAGGGAAGATGTTACGATATAATCAACTTATTTAATATTCCGACGGAAGTCATCTTAGCGTGATTGATGTGTTTATTTGTTTTTTTATTTATTTATTTATAAACTTTGCCGTTCGCAAAATTTATACTAGTACAAAACGGCACGGGAACGTCATGATTAACACAGCGTAGGCCAATTACGTTGACGACCTGGTTTAACAAGTACAATACACCTAATGCACAGATTAACACTGCCTCGTCTCCAGTCGCTTTCAAAGGGGAGAGAGGAAAACATTGTATACAGCAGTCTATATGCAAGACCTTGGAAAAACTCTCAAGTGACGCACGTTGTGATCAGCTAACCATTGCTGTGGTGAGTACATTAAAGTTAAGTTTCCAATACAACAGGCCAGAAATCACGAGCAGGATTGATGGATTATGATAAATCGCAGTTAAAAAAGTATAATCACGATTACTTTGTGAGTATATATATATAAAGTTAAGTCACAATATAACAACGCCAGTAAGTGAGTACATAATGTTAAGTTAGACTATTATACCTCAACTTCAAATTGTCCAATCAGAAAGCTCAGTTTGTGGCGCGTGAGTATGAAATTATTCGCGATATCACGCCATACGTACGTCATCAATTAGCCAGCCTGCATTCCTTTTGACAATGTGTGCGTGTTGTATTCGTCTAGACCACGCGAGACAACAGACATGATAACAAATTTTTAACGTAAATTTTTAACGTAAAAAAAACGTTTAAGCAAATTTTGAAAAATGTTATCATTAATGTTTCAAACGATATGTGATTCGAAGGAAAAGCGACGATAATCCAAAAATAAGACGACAATCCAAAAATAAAACATCGTATTCACCTAATTCACGAAGGTATATGTGGCAAGTTTTACATCTCAACTTGGAGGCTTTTAATTTGCGGTATAATATATCATTTATATCGGACCCTCTGCTCGGGCGAATCGGCGAAATATTACCTTCTCCAGTGATGATATTTCCTTCGGGGCAAATCCCCTCGGGAAATATCATCACTTCGGGGATTAATATTTTGCCGAATCCCCCGAGCGGATGGTCTGTCACTATAATTATTAGTTCTAGTTGACTCGGTTTTCTATGATGTACCGCGGGATGTTTGCAGGTTAGCTATAACCCGTCAATAAATAATTAGATTAAACTTGTTGACAAAACTTAAAAAATCTTTATGGATTTGTCTTTGAAATTGATTAATTTAATCTTGTTCGAAAACCTCCTCAGAAATAAGTGAGAGTTATTAACTCCTCCCCACTAGAAAATAAGTAAGAGTTATAAACCGTGAACATGGGATATAAGTCATATATTTACCCAAGGGCTTGCCGCCCCACATATAACAGGGTCAGAAATCACAGGCATGACTGATAAAATGTTGCAAAAGATAAATAGTCTAGACTAAGTGAGTAACATAAGTAAGCGTTATACTTGATGTAATCGGTCACTGAAAAAGCCCCATTGGGGAATGAACTGTTCAAAACACTCGTTGTCGTGTTTTATCAGACATGAGACGGCTGCGCCTCGCGTTTTATATCTGATAAAACACTCCCGACGAATAGCAGAGATTCCTGCTGTAACTTTTTTGCAAATCTGATTTTCGGTGTTACTTTTCCAAGATAAATGCTGGTCAATTGTTACTCCTAGAGTTTTGCATTCATGAACTTGTTTAATTTGTATATTTTCAATGTAAACATTTGGACAGGAATCAGAAATATTTTTGATCATAGGTTTAGAGCCAATCAACATAATCTCTGTCTTAGCTACATTGAGGCTAAGTTTATTGGCTATTAACCATTTTCTAAGATTCTCTAAATCAGAATTTACTGCAGTCTCTAGGTCAGACATAGAATTTGCTGAAGCAGTCAAATTTGTGTCATCAGCAAACAACCGCGGTTTTGTTTTGTTTAGACAATGTGGGAAATCATTGATGTATAATAAAAAGAATAATGGCCCTAATATCGAGCCTTGTGGTACACCACATTTTATCAAGCGCTCAGATGAAAATGAGTTTTTTATTTGGCACTTCTGGTTTCGGTTTGTGAGATAGGATTTGAGCAAAGTTAGAGCTTGTCCTTTTATTCCATAGAGCTCTAATTTGGTCAACAGAATTTGATGATCAACAGTATCAAAGGCTTTCTTTAAATCAATTGAAACTACTAGGTTAAACATTTTTCTGTCTAGATTTACATACCAATCATTAGTACAGTCTAGTAATGCACTAACTGTAGAGTGAAATTTTCGAAATCCAAATTGGGAATCACTGATTAAGAGTTAAGAATGTTTCATGCCATATAATGTTGCTACAGACGGTATAAAACTCTCATGGTAGCGATCAGTTCTACAAACTGGAACCTTAAAACACCTATTATGGCGTAGATTGTGTTCGTTAACCCTAAGAGCTGGAACAAGCAAGTTTAATTTGTGTCCTGGAAGAAGCATTCTATGGAAAAGTCGTTCGCAAAGGGTGCTTCGGTAATCGTACACTGATGGAACGTTGGCTGTGAGCATCGCTAGGACTAGGACGGAGTCCGGAAGGGCGTTTTTTCAACAGCCACAGGGCGTATAAACGCTTGGAAGCCTTCTTACAGATGGCACTTACGTGCAAGTTCCATTTCAAGTCATTCGAGATGGTAACGCCTGGAAGCTTGGCATGCGTAACAATGTTGACTATTTGATTGTTGATCACAATTGGTGGGTAAGAAGGAGAACTAGACGAGAAGTTCACGCGCATCTCTTTCGTCTTCGAAGCGTTCAACTTCATGTTATTATCACATGTCCATTCCTCGCACGCTTTCACGGTTGAGGGGAGATTAGATTGGGAGTCTCTGTGCAGAACGTCCCACGCTGTGGAATCATCGACGAATTTGACAAGGTCTGTAGCCAGTTTTACCATGATTAAAAAAGTAAGGGACCCAGTTTTGTTTGCTGTGGAACGCCAGCTTGAACATACTTCCAAGCAGAGTAGTCCTGACCAATCTTTGTCCTCTGTAATCTGTCAGACAAGAAGTAGGCAATCCAATTAATTTAACGATAACTGGGTGTCCGGCCATTTGCTGAAGTTTTCTCAGGAAGATGTTATGATCGATCCGATCAAAGGGTTTTGAAAAGTCTAACAGGCAGATTCGTAATGATGAACCAAGGTCATCGCATGCTTCGTACCACCTATGGAGGAGGTGGACGAGAGCCATGCTTGCCCTTGAGCCTCGTATAGCGCCAAAATGAAGAGCGTTGATCTGTTCTATAATTGATTGGAAAAGCCAGCGGTAAAAAAACGACTCCAGAATTTTGATAACAATGGCCGTGAAGGAAATGGGGAGAAAGTCTGAGTCGATTTCTTGAGCTGGGGAAGATTTTGGTATCGGTGAAACGTTAGCTGATTTCCACAATGAAGGGACAAAGCCTTGACGGAGGGACAGATTGTAAATATAGGTTAGTGGGCGACACAAAGTGGATGCGTTCTCGCACAAAACCACGCCGAGATTTCGTCTGGACCAGCAGTGGAGTGGAGTTTCAGTTAAAAGTAATGCGGTTTCGGTATCTTCAACTGATATGATGAATTCGGATGGATAAAGGTCAACGGGAAGCGGAGTCCAATCAAGTGGTGGAAGCGTCAATCGAACAGCAACAATTTTGTCGTGGAACAGGTCGGCTAATTCTTAACCTTGGTAGGGACGATTCTAATACATCAAAGTTTTAATACTTCTAGACGAAGAAGACCTGAGATATTTTTTACCGCTGATTATCAATTTTTCGAGTTAGATTGCTGAACGTCAGCAATGTTCCTTTGTAGTAGGAGTTCACCATGTTCCTATAGCGTTTAAAAGTGATATTGTTTCTTCTGAACGAAGCTTGTTGTCGCTTTATAATGCAATGCAATGCAATGCAATGCAATGCAATTCAATGCAATGCAATGCAATGCAATGCAATGCAATGCAATGCAATGCAATATAATACTTCATTACTTCCTTACTAATTTGCATATCGTCGATGCATAACCAGTTGAAATATGGTGGATTCTGCAGAAAGTAGTAATTAATATTACGCAATATTGTAAATCACAAAATCAGAGAACACGGTATAGCTCAAAATATTTAGTGCAACTTTTTCGTGGTGTAAGTTACTGCCAATTCTGCATTTTCGTTTGTTTCTAGTGGTATTCTTATATGGAGTGGTGTTCTAATTCAAAAGAATTTTAATTAGACTCTTTTGTCTGGAACACCAACATGGCCGCCATGGCTTTTGTTGAGTTGGTCTCTGGGAAATGCGTGCAAACTCTCTAGGGAGTTCAACAAACAAAAACTAACCTCTGTACAAATATTAAAAATGCAGAATGAGGCAGTAACCAACATTACACTAAATACTTAGACAGGCTTTGTTTTGCAGGCAGCGATTGAGGCAAGTAGCAAAGGACCTACTTGATTCTTGATTTTAGGAATAACAACGTTGCGTTATATAATTCACTCTTTACTGTGAATTATGAATCCAAATTACGAAGGAAGTAGAATATATCGCGTTTGCACATGACGTCACAACCGCAATGGGCGTACAGGCCTAATATTGTTGGGGGGCACGGTATCAGTTTGCCCGACGGTCGCGAATTAATATTTCTCCCCAAAATTTTTGGGAGGTCACCAAAAAATTTTCCCCGGACATATCAAAAAAATTTGCGTAATATACCGTAATTTTCGCAAACATACCAAAATTTTTCTGGACATACCAAAACATTTTCCTTAATATCCCGTATTTTTCGCAAACATACAAAGAATTTTACGGGCATAACATAATTTTTCCGAAATTTTTATGTTTTGCCCGAATCACGCATGGATTTCTGCCCGATCGTAAACATTTTGTGGGAGCCTGTTCCCCCTGCCCCCTCCCGCCCCGCCCACACGTCTATGTCTTGATGTTCCGTGATCCATGGCCATGGCAGTGGAAAGAATGCAACTGGAACGCTATCTTCAAATAGACTGTCTATCTTTTTTTTGAAATCAAATCTGATCTGCGTGTTTATGCCTTGCGGTTCCCTCGCCTAAACAATCATGATCAATAGAACACATTGGTATCGAAGATACTAGACTTAGTTCCGAAATACCACGCACTCGAACAGCCTCGTAGCTCAGTTGGCAGAGTATTGTACTAGTATCCCAAAAGTCGCGGGTTCGATTCCCACCGTGGTCAGGCTAACTTTTCAGCCTGCCCGGTGTGGAGTATACCCTCAAAGTAACATCAAAAGACACAAATCATTAGAAAAATAAGAAAAAAATAAAAGTAAAGTCTACTAGGATGTTTTACCCGCAAAAATGCATTCATTTAATATAGAAAGATTTGAAAAAAGCTTTTTTGTAAACTGTATAAACTGGTATTAATGTTGACGGATTGACCGCGCTTTTCGCATGTGTGAAAAGACTGGGACTGGCCTTCAAGTTTGGCTTCGAATTCAAATTTGCGGTTGGAAGTATAGCGTTCCAGTTATATTCATTTCACTGGGCCATGGCAAATAAATCATCGTAAGTTCAATGATCAGAGTACTGTATATTATATACAGGCAATTCAACTGATATTGTCCTTTTAATGTTCAATTCAATAATATATATTTCACACATGAAAAACGCAGCATGAGCTCGACCTTTGAATTCACCATTTCTTAATTTGGGCACTTTTTAACACTCGTCCCCAGTCAACTCATCAACTTCGGAATGGCTAATAAAGTCGCAACGCATGTTGAACTCTAGCCCTAATCTAACGCCGACTCTAACCCCTAACCCTAATATAATCTTAATCTAATCTAATCTTAACCTGACACTAATGTAAACTTGATGACCTTTTTTAATAATCTAATTGGCCGATGTTTTGCAATTTGAGTTTTGAATTTAAATTAAACTGAGAACAACTTTAATCTATTCTGCACAAGATATCTATACATAGCCTGTGACCGGTATATATTGAGTATGTATGAATCTAAATATCACTATTTTCTCCACGAAGCATTTCCTGAATCTCCCTAGCAGATTTAGCCTCCTGCATTCCACTGCTTTTAGGTAACGTAAAACGTTATTTTAAAAATCACTGAGTGTGCTGAAATCTAGCTGGCTGCAAAATCTTACTCATGCATGTTCTTTCTTTGTACACAGGTATTTGGTTTCTTATCTATGGGGCTGTTGATTGGAGACACCATCATTTACATCTTGATTTTGAAAAAAAACAGAAAATCAGTTCTGCCAGAACCTCGTCTGGACTAAATTACGACTTGCATTGGTCTAAAGACTAAACTGTTTTTCATACACATCGTTGTCGTAGCTTCTTTTTTTAAGTTAATTTTTTGTGAGTGTTCTATAGTAAATCTCTCATAAATTAATAAATTAGTCTATCTTCATTAGTATAGTGTTTTCTCAGAGGTTGTGTACGTAATGCCCATACTTGAAATTTTAGAAATTTTGTCGACACAGTATAGCTACTTTAATAGGCAAATTTTAAAATGCTGAAATTTTGGCAATAAAGGCAAAATCAGAGTTGCCATCATATACTGTCTTCTTCATTTATGTCTCTACTCTAAGAACATGCCATTTTGTAGCTTGTAACAAAAAATGCCATCAAACAAATTTATTTGCCGATTTTCAGGTTTTGGCCGGCCGTGTACAAGTCACAACAAGAATATGCTCCTCGGTAATGACATGTTCCATTACATGTATTGTCTTCCTCAATATAAGCCCTGTTCATGATGACTACATGTAACTACAATTGCCAGAATATGCAAACCGGCTGAATTTGCTTCTGTATATGATTTTCTCACGTATATTATTAGACTAGAAATACATGCATGCAGTAACCCCTCGCCAATATTGCCATACATTGAACATGAAGTATTCAGAAATGACCAGCACTGAACGCAGGCTCGCGCTCAAGTGTTGCCTTGACAACACGATATTCTTGAATTTTTATTTTCATATATTTTGTACAAAACTGCAAAATAGTTGAAAGATCCGTACTTTTAATTATACAACAATAAATTTCTGAAATACATAATGTAGGTATATTATTTTGCATTTTGTGAGCTTTGATTTAATGTAAACTTTAACTTGAAACGCTTCGTAAAATGTTTTGAAATGTTCATTCAAGTAAACCTACATTTTGCCGATAAACTGTTTTTACTTAACAAAACATTATAAGTTTAATACAAATAAAATAAAATTGTTAGGTAATTTCAGTTCAGTCTTCAAACCAATTTGTTCGCCTTTACATTTTAAGATTTTTTATCAAATTAAACGGTAATTTATGAAACTTAGAGCTTCTATAGTTCATGTTTTTTATTACGTAAAAAGTTAAAGCAACAAAATTCGTAAACATTTTAAAAATATTCAAAGCAAACTTGCCGTATATTTCACAATTTCCCGTAGTAAACCAATTCTTCTCATTTCTTCAAACAAAATTGCTTCAAGCTTGTTGTATATGAAAAGATTTTCCAAATATATGTCTTTTAAAATTGAAATCTTGCTTGCCATATTTTTGAGATAAGTGAGGATGACCACCCACTCAAGATCGTCGCTCGTTGGTCAGCGCCCGCGATGATTGATGAACTTTAGACTTCGCTAATACTTTCGTTTCTCCGGGTGTAAATAGCCGAGGGGAATTAGTACCCTCGCACGGCGCTTCGCGCCGTCGGCTCGGGGAAAATAGAAAATGAATCACGTGCGTTTGTCTCTGATAAAAAATACACGAGGATGTTGGGAGAACGAAAGATGTATGTACACGAGGCGTAACCGAGTGTTTTATATGTTTCTACAGTATTCTTCCAACAATTCTATGTGGTATTATCACACCACAAATGCCCAAGATTAGTTTTTCAGGGTTTTTTATAGACGTTATTACACAGAAAAAATTTTATTCAAACGATCC